GTTTGTGGATTAATTCGTTTATCAAATCGTATGTAATGTGATCAAATCTCTAAAGAACTCAGAGGAGCAAAAAATTGAGATTTACAGAGATTGAGATTTAATTTGACGATGGTAAGATAAAGATATATGGTGAGACAATCAATCTTTTTTCCTCTTACATTAATTATCAGATTAAATATTTCGTGATATTATTTCGTGGAATGCGGATGTTGATCACGTAATGAGGTCAACATGCCACATGGGATATTAAAATATAATCACAAGTACTGCTTATTTTTATATAAATGAAAAAACCATGCAGAATGTTTCTAAAATGTTTTTCAAAAGAAAACACTATTTCTATCAATAAATAATAATATGCAATAATAATTTAATAATCTCGAATTAATATCAGGGAGAATCTGTTTTTCTTTACTAAAGGAAAGATTTACTACGATAATTTATCGAAAATCTAGCAAACAATCAAAATTATAGAAGTTATTTTATAACTCTTGCAGAAAATATAATATATGAAAACTAACTATGATGCGTAATTATTATAATTTATTTAAAATACAGCCGCAGAGAATTTACGTAATCGTGCTTGCTCAGCATGATAATAATATGCAATAATAATTTAATAATTCAGAATTAAAATGTGTCAATAGAATCTGTTTTCCTTTTTCTTTCGAAAAGTTTATTATGATAATATATAACAAATCTCAACAAATATTATAGAAATTATTTCATGCTTTGCAAAAATACAATACTGAAAACTGATCATGTGATACGTAATTATTATAATTTATTTAAAATACAGCCGCAGCAAATTTACGCAACCGTGTTCACTCAGCATGATAATGTGATAGTAATTTAATAATCCGAAATTAATGTCATATAAAATCTGTTTTTTTATTCGAAAAATTTATTACGATAATATATAAAAAATCTAGACAAATACTGTAGAAATTATTTTATGATTTATAAAAATATGTAAGAATAATATGAATATATAAAAATACATAACTGACAAGCCGTAGTAAAATGCAACTGTGCTTGTTCAGCATATTATATCTTTAAACACATGTTAATATTATCTGGAAAATGCAAATCGCAGAAGCGTGAATATAGAATAAATATAGAATTTAAACAAAAATTACATGTCCAAACTACAGCCAAAAATTTAATAGAAAAATATGTATCTTTTACATACATATATGTATATGTATATATTTATCAATTTTCGAGTGCGCATGTTTTGTTTATTTTTGCACATCCAATCAAAATATTTGTGAAAAATTAAAATATGCCGAATTTATCTAATTTACTTGTAAAAAAATTAAAATATATATATTTGAAAATATATATTATATATTATAATGCATATATGTATAAATGTATGTATGTATTATTAAATGTATGTATGTATATTATTAAATGTATGCATATTATTAAACGAAAATGTTAGAAATAACGTATCGCCATTTAAAACTTGGCGCCATTGAAAAATTTAAATTCAAAAATGTTTCGGAATATCGCTTTACTTCATTGTTCCACACTCATGTTTCTTGATGTAAAACTTTTAAAGACAATTAATCTCACATACCTTCTGTATATTATGAATAAATGTAAGATTTTCGGTAATAACGTTATGGGAAATTATCGAGTGCAACAACTAAACAAGTAACAGATAACCTCAACTAGATGCGAACAATATATCTCATGTCTCTACAGAAAGTATGTAAGGTCTCTTTTGTATGTTACAAATATTATATCGATATAGCATCATTTTCGACATTAATCGACTCTATTTAAAGCCTTTGTATTTTATGATCAACTGACAATGAATTATGCGTCTTACCTTGGTATCTCTGGTCGTGTGATAGTAGTAAACAAAGGCGAACATCCACGCGCATGACAGGAGCAACGCGATCTTGACATTCCGCCGCATGACTGATCCGGATTTGCGTATCAGGGCTTTCGTCCGCCCGGCTGACCTCCTCGATGCGTCCCTTCACCGCAAACCTTCGTCCTTTTCTCTCACGAAACAGAGCACGTTCATCCGCGAACACGTACTACACCACAAAATACTACTAACGTACGTACCGGCAGCCGAAGCCATACTGCCGAGAACGGTCGAGAATGGCGACTGTAATGCTCCTCGCTTATCCAGCGCCATCTGTCGGCGGCGCGCCAAATCGGATTCAGTCGCGCGTCGCGCGCCGAAGGGCGCCAGATTTCAGACAAATTATTAGATAGAATGCATAAAATAGCGATGAGGTATTATCAAAGATCGGGCCAATTATGAGCAAATCTTCAATTAATTTCGGATTTGATCGCCCCGGAGATAATTAAAAAACAATGACATTATCAATTGTTTTGATTGCATCAAAAATAATAAACACGAACATTTTATCATATCAAAACACTATTTTATTATCAATTTATCATCTGAAATGTGAAATAATACAAAATTCATCACAAAATTTTCATATCGAACGATTAATTTTATAATATTTATCAATTATTGACTTTCAATTATAAAAATTATTGAACATTATATAATGCAAATAAATCGCGATAAAAAAAGTCATCAATATAGTTATCAATTTTATCTCTTAATTAATAAAAAAAAAAGTATTTGGATTACATTTTGATTTTGAAGAAAATTTGATATGAAAAGGCAAACTCTGATATAAACCAATGATCAAATAAAATAATAATTGCGATTATATATAAGATAAAATATTTCTATTCGCGGATAATTTGATGATAATAATTTAATCATAATAAGACCAGATTGAAATCATTCAAGCCGATTAATATCTGACAAATAGAAGAACAGTATTAAAAATAAAGGGCAACTTTAATGTATATTGTTTTATGTCGGATTTTGGTTTTATGGGATTAATCCGCGAAAGAAAGTTAAGCGATCTATTGAACATCAAGGGTCTTGCTTTAAAATGGAACGAATCTTAAATCTTTTGGATTGCTCCCAATAGCAATGATTTCAACGTTTCAGTGAATCAACGACAATTATCGTCATCATCTTCAATTCACAAGAAATTTATGGAAGAAAATTTTCTTTCATAAATTTCTTATTCACAGAAATATCTTTTGATTAAAAAATAGATGATTATAACTATTCTTATGGAAATGTGATTACATGATAACTAGTATATTTAAGGATAATGAAACATATGCATTTATCGCTTATCAAATGTACAATAATTCTCGGATATCAACTATTCGAAATGAGTCAATAACAGCAAAATGATGAAAAATTTTAAATATTTCACATAAAATAAAATGATTATTATTAATTTTTTATTTTCCTATAACATTTAAACATTTTAATGTATCAATATCTTACACTGATATTAAAATATTCATTTGGCTTAAATTTTTTAATATCTATACATGTTTTGTTACACATTTATGTGTATTAATAATATTAAGAAAAGATAAATTTTATCAAGTAATGTGTCATAATTAATATATAGAATATCTAGCAAATTAAAAACTAATATTGATAGTTTAGAAGTTAATGCGGAATTTACGAATACATTTAATTAATAACAAAATCGAATATCTCAATAATTTTATTGGTTTGCAATTTTGCATTATTGAAAGAGCAGACATTAAATTTTGTGAGAGAAAAATCATTGGCTTGACATCGAATTTTTACACATTTTTCAATCATTTATGTTACATACTGAAATAATTGGCGAGATAATTTCAACACGAAATTTGTAAATAAAAATTTTCTTGACTTTAATTCAAAATAATTGATTGTTGAATTTTAAAATAATTTTAAGAACAAAAACTATAAAAGAGAGAATATTCACATCAAATATATTAATTTAACGAATTTTTCATTATTGTACATGTCTTTTCAGTTTCGTATTAATATAATTTACAATATATAAATATATTCTATTTAAATATAATAGATGATAATCACAACATTATTAGACAATATATGTATAAACAATTAATTATTTATACAATATATGTATAAACAATTTATAGATTACAATAGATAATATAGGTTTATAAAATAAATTATAAAACATGTTGATGTCGTTACGTATATTATATAAAATTTATTCAATATGAATATTCAACGTTGCGAATACTTCATAAAGACATTATAAAACTGCAATAGTTCTATATATATTGCTTAAATTAATTAAGAACTATATTTATCAATTTAAATAAATTAGAAAATAAAAAACTAAGCAATTATTTATGTTAATGTTATGCTAATAAAATTTAATTTTATCCATTTTATTATTATAGTAATTATTAGCTATTGACAATATTTACACATGACTTAACATTATACGACATTTTTATAATGATATAATTTACATAATATAATTGACAATATAAAAACGTAATTTATATATAATACAATCACACACAAATTATTGAGCATTCACATTATATATGCAATGTGGATATTTAAAAAAATAATAAAAAATCAAACAATATCAAACATTAATTAATCTTGATTGTACAATCAAATATTTACTTATGCATTTTTTCATTATGCCTTTGCTTTATAGTATCATTCGTTTAATCTCTTTAAATATTATATATGATTTAATTGATCGTTATCATTGCGATAACTAGGTATCATTTAACGTATATAGAAAATAATTAATCATTAATTACATTAATCACATATCAAATTAATAATATAAATAAATATCTATCAATTCGTGCGAATAATGTACATATAAAATTTAATAAATTAAAATAAATTCCAGTACAAATTTATATAAATGTGCCATATTATAATACACATATATGTATAAACACAGATGATATAAATGTTTTGATAACTTTTGACATAATAATTCTTTGAATGGCATGATTTTCCGTTGACTTTGTACATCAAATCTCTCTTGCTTAGCATATATAATTTATAGCGAAAACCGATATTGGGTGGATTCTGATAAATCTTCCAAATACGCCCACTCAAGAGATACAGACGCGCACGATGGCCTCATGGATCAATCTGTTACAACCTGTCTTTTCGACAGGAGTTCTACGAGAGTGCAATAAGGTATGATTGGATAATATTCAGCTTATTGAGTTTCAACCAACCTGGCATGGCTCTTACACTGGGATGGTTCTTATTATTACACTTGAGTTTCTGCACGGCATGGATGGACGAGAGGTAAGTTTCGTGATAAGAGTTCGTTGTCTACGTCTTATATATCTCATTACTTATCTTGCATTTATATAAAGTTTATTATATGTTCAAATAAAAAAATTATCGTGGATTTGCATATAATCGATACAATTGATATAACTAATAAAAATAGCGACTTAGTTATATGTAACGAAAAGATACAAGAATTTGGACATATGTATATAAGATATTATAATCGAATAAAGTGTTTTATATTTAATTTTATTGCTTTTAAAAAACTTTCTTTTTATATAAATTATCTTCACAGACCCGTTCTCGAATCTCGAGATGGACATCTCATAATTTCTAGCGCAAAAGATAGAAATATTACTCTGAAGATAACAGGGGGCGGTTACATGAATGTCAATGAGATCAATCTACTTCATGTAGCATCGGCGGTAATGAATATACGTCTAAATGTACAGCATAATCGAGGTACAATCGGTTAATGTGTACGTCTCGATTCCCTTTTAGGCGCAAAATGCGACGCGGGTCATTGACAGATGGCGGATGGGATACTTGGCTGAGATGGAGAGCTCTCTTCACCAGTTAACGACTATAGTGACAGGCTCCACAGGTTTACAGAGAAGAGTCGCTCTTCTCGAGAGGAGCATCGACGTGAACGGCACGAGTCGCGTAGGAAATAGATCACGCATATATCCGGTAAGAATATACAATATGCAATATTGAATCTTGCAACGTTATATATTTTTTTACAATGTATTTTCATACCAAAGTGCATTAGATGTAAGTATTATTTTACATGTGAAAATAAATTAAAAAAGAGATTCTACACGATTATTACACGAGCAACTTTATTTAAAAATATTAAATCGCTATTTATCTTACTAATTTAATTTTTTGTGTTTCATTATCGGTAAAAGTAATATTTACATATCCAAATAAAAAAATGAAAAAAATTACATATATTTGTACTTAGATTATTTATACAAAGTAACATTTTTTTTTAGAGTTTTAATCCAACCAGAAACACCATTCGTCGAATCAACTTTCGAGTATGTATAGATTGAAAATTTATCGTAAGCAATAAACGAATAATGATTTATATAAAATTAAATTAAAAATCTGTAATATATCTCTATTTCAGCTTAAAGCATTAGAAGATTCACTAAGAGCTATGCAAACGCTGCTCCGAGAGAATGAATGCCAAAGTAATCCGTGTCAAAATGGCGGTACATGCGAGGATCTCTTTGATGCCTATCAGTGTCATTGCCCATCAAATTGGGAGGTATGCATGACTGGAGCGTTAACATTTCATGAAGATAATTCACGATAATTTTAGGGCCCGAATTGTATGACGGACGTCAATGAATGCGCAAGATTTCTTGGTACGGAACTTGGATGTCAAAATGGAGCAACGTGTCGCAATTTGCCTGGATCTTATCGGTACACAACATTAACAATTATGTTTCCCATTACAGTAATTAATATTAAACTGAGAAATCGCACCTTGAATATCTTCACTTGACTACAGATTTTTTAAACAAATTTATAATAAGCATTTTTCACATAAAGAAATTCTATTAAAAAATAATATTTTTAAATAACTTTAAATCTCCTATTTTAATTCTATTGTTTTAAATAATTTCATTGAGTCTCATCGGTGGTACGGTTTCTCAGATATACTAAAATGTGTCTGTATATAATGTCATGTTTGGTACTAGATGCGACTGCTTGCCGGGATGGTTCGGTCTTCATTGCACGCAGAAAACATCGATTTGCAATACAGAGAATTCTGAAGCGCTTTGCGGCGAGCACGGTGTGTGTGTCGCCAAAAGTTCTCCGCTAGGCTATACATGCATTTGCGACCAAGTACGCTCTTCTCTTTCTTATCGCTGGTTTCAATCAACCTATATTTCGTGCAAAATTGGCGCATAAACCGGCAGAGACTGAGCCTTTTATTTATCGTTGCCAGGGATGGGAGAGCGATGGTGCGAGCCCAGCTTGCACCAAGGATGTAGATGAATGCGCGGCGTACCATCCACCCTGTTCTGTAAACCCACCGGTATCGTGTCACAATACCCGCGGCTCATTCACCTGCGGCGCTTGTCCGCACGGTTACAGCGGAAATGGCTATTATTGTACCGACATTGATGAGTGTCTGATTAACAATGGTGGTTGCAGTACCTCGCCTTACGTGCAATGCATGAACACGATGGTAAATGATGCGTAGACGTTTCATGTTACATCATGCGTAATATAAGATTATCGCTGTTTACATTTCATTACAATGATTTTAATTGCAGGGTTCTAGGGTGTGCGGGGCCTGTCCTTCAGGATATCGCGGTGATGGTGTCAGTTGCATTTTTGTCGGCGGTTGCGCCATCAATAACGGCGGATGTCATCCGTTAGCTATATGTAGCGAAAATCCATCGCTTACAAGTTCTTATGTTCTATGCCGTTGTCCACCGGGTTACGTAGGTAATGGAATGGGACCAAACGGTTGTCAGTTAGCTGATGTATCAGTTAATACAGCGTGTTCTGTCAACCCCTGTGTGCATGGCACATGTGTGCCAAACGGTGCAAATGGCTTCACTTGCACATGCAATCCAGGATATTCAGGTACATATTAGGGAAGAGAGGCGGAGCAAAGGAGGAAAATAGGTTTATAAACTTACTTGTAAACTGTAACATTCTGCTTTCTACGTCTCTTCGAATAGATAAGATACGAGATTAATTCATGTTTGGCGAATATATACTGTAAATTTTGTAAATATTAAATGTTAAAATTATACGAATTATTAGATGACGTTTAAAAAGTTATGTCGCGGAAAATAATAATTACATCATTTCGCCAGAAATATTTTATTTTACTCAATTATTTATATAAATTGTTAAAATGTTGTGTTTATATACATGTATATATATTATTGTATTCTCATCATTCTTTGTAAACATTTAGGAACAACATGTAACACACCGACCGATCCGTGCTCGCCGAATCCATGTCGAAACAATGGTATTTGCAACGTTTTAAACGGACAAGCAACGTGTCAGTGTACATCTAGCTATACGGGAAACAGGTGCGAGACACAGCGGCAAACATGCGGCGGTGTGTCACGCAATCCTATGGGAACACTTCAATTTCCCATGGGTGGTAGCACTTATCAGCACGGATTGAGCTGCGCTTGGGTTTTAATTACGGAATCTTCTAAAGTTTTGAACGTCACCTTCACGGCTTTCAATCTTGAACAGTCCACAGATTGCAAGTTTGATTTTCTACAGGTGATGTCATTAGAAGTGTTCAAAACTATCGAGTGTATTAACATCACATGCGACAGTTTTGAAAACTTCTCGTTCTATTTTAATAGAACTATTTTAATAGAGTTATAACTTTTGTAAGATCTTGAAGCTATATATATATATATATATATATATATATATATATATATATATATATATATATATTAGACAGTATTTGTGTTTCTTGTCATTTTCAGGACAAAATTAGTAAAATAATGATTTATAAATCCTTAATATTTATTTTAAAAAATTGTCAATATTTTAAATTAAATTTTCAATATTCTATTTAAATCTCAATTTTAAACTTTATTAATGTAAAAAATTAAAATATAAAAAACTATTAAATAAATTTATTAAATGTAAAAAAACTATTATACAACTAAGATAAAAAGAATTTTATAAGAAATATAAAATAAGACGAAATAAAGAAGAAAATATTAAAAATGCATTTTTCTTTCAAAATGTGTATATATGTTTTTAGATTCATGATGGCAGGAATGCTGGTAGTCAAATGATTAATAGATTTTGTGGTCAGACATTGCCTAATGGAAACGGAAATATCATTTCGTCCCATAATACCCTCTACTTGTGGTTCCATTCGGACAGCAGTGTATCTAATGATGGATTTACTTTTCATTGGAATAGCATCGATCCTGTTTGCGGAGGTGTTTTAGAGGATAATTATGGCACGATTATGTCTCCAGGCTCGCCAGGAAGATATCCTCCAAATAGGGATTGTTTCTGGAGAATTTCCGTTGCATTATCAAAAAGAATCCAGTTTCATTTTGGTCAACTGATGCTTGAAGAACATTGCGAAGCCGATTATGTAGAAGTAAATTCTTCATGCTATTTCATAGATCGATCGACATATAATATTACATAAATAAATTTTTAGATTATATATTTTTTTCGCACACATGACTTGAAATATTTTTACATCATTTTGATTTTTTATTTGGTACAGATTACAGGTATGGAAGAAGAACGTTTAGGGTTTTTCTGCAATCACACTCGTCCACCACCTCTTATCACACCCAGTTTTGAAGCGACCGTTCATTTTCATTCTGATAATGTTGGTCAAGACGTCGGTTTCCAAATCCATTATTCGACAATTGAAGGTATTTATTTATTAAAGCAATTATGTTAATTAATAATCCTATTTATTTAGAATAAATAATTGATAATGATTTAATAATTTGAGATTCTTAATTTATAAAAATAATATCAGGTTTTCCTGGTTGCGGTGGGGTTTATACAAGTGCAACTGGAACGATCAATTCGCCCGGCCATTCGTCGTCGGGTTATCAACCGAATATGGTATGTGAGTGGAAGATACAAATGCCAGCAGGCGAACGAATCAGAGCATCATGGTTGCGATTTAATCTTGAACAATCTTCCAGTTGTCATTTTGATTTTGTTGAGGTAATCTTTCAGTTTTTATTTTTCTAGTATGCACGAGAACGTAATTAATCTTACTTATATTCTTTTAGATTTACGATGGACCTGACAGATTTTCCCGGTTACTTGGTAGATACTGCGGATCGGATATGCCGCCAACAATTAAGTCGAATACAAACACGTTAGTTGTGATCTTCGAATCCGATTGGTCTTATGAATTTGAAGGTTTCACAATGTCTTATGAAACTTTATGCGGCGGCGAATTCCATGAAGAGACCGGAATTCTCAAGTCACCCTTCTATCCAAACATTTATCATGGTGCAAGAACATGTATTTACGAGATTATACAATCACCGAATAAAGGAATCGTATTAACCATAGAAGATATGGATATCGAAGGTAGAGAACCACCGAATTGTTACTTCGATTACATCGAGATTTACGATGGTTATGATGAAAATGCAAAGAAACTTGCTACGTTATGCGGCGATGAAGATTACATTCCAGACAGCCCGTATTATTCTACACATAATATTATGTATATAAAATTCACAACCGACAACAGTATCGAGGGTCGAGGCTTCAAAGCTAACTACACAACCATCGATCGCAGTAAGTTGATCTGTGATTTAAAAATAACTTGGATGTTATATATTTATCATATCTTTATATATACATACTGGGTTTAATAATTGATGCTCTGAAGAATTTTTTTGTAAAAATGGAACTTTGAAAATAATTGATATTATTTTTTTTATTAAGGATGCGGCGAATTGCTAACAAAATCACCCGGAGTGATTAGGCCTCCCATTGAAAGTGGAGTTTATGCCGATAACGAAGAATGTATTTGGACTATTCAAGCACCGCCAGGATTCGTAATACAACTTGCTTGGCTGTCATTTAATTTGGAATCTCATTATAATTGCAACCATGATTATGTCAAAATTTATGAAAACTATACTTCACCTACTGAAAATATAATAGCCACGTATGTTAGAACAGTATCTATTTCTTTTATTTTTAACACTTTAAGGAAAAATAGTAAGTTAATATTATATGAAAAAATCAGCTAGTAATTATCAGATAGTTATAAAAGATAATTATAAATATTATTATTACTATTATGCTATTATTACTTACGTCCTTCATTTCAAATTTCTCTTTAATATTTCTTTTTTTAAATCTAATTTTTATGTTATAATTAATAATATATAATTACATATTTTAGATATTGTGGTAATACTAAACCACCTGACTTAATGACACAAAATCGCACACTTACTATATTGTTCCACACCGATTCAAGCATTACACTAGATGGATTTGTCGCCACATATATTTTCGCAGACGTTACAAAAGTCTGCGGCGGTCGCTATTCGAAACCGAATGGCGTTATTAGATCGCCAGGATATCCTGAGTATTATCCGAATCAGAAGGATTGCGTTTGGATTATTGAAGCGCAAAACAGACACAAAATTACGCTCACGATTAATCAATTTGAATTGGAGAAACATACGACTTGCGGATTCGATTACTTAGAAATTAGGTAATTAATTTAAAATTATATAAGCTTTTTGCTTTTTTATACATATAAATGGTCACTTTATATTTCATATATTTCAGAAACGGTGGATATGATTCCGCACCATTAATCGGCAAATTTTGTGGCACAGAAATACCCACTGAAATACCAAGTCAAACCAATCAAATGTACATTAGATTTGTCTCGGATTTCTCGAGATCACTACAAGGTTTTGAGATACAATGGGACAGCACCACGGAAGGTAAGTAAGCTAATGATAAACATTTGAATTTTTCTTTTAAGTTTTCAAGTAATTTAATCATAAAGATTCAAATTACTTTATTATTTAAAACTGACGGTTCTTAAAAAATTTTTTTAATGTTGAATATTCTAAAACTCTTGTGTGTGAATTGATTTAAAAGATTCTGGATTTGTGAAATAAATTATTTTCGTATATATATAGTATAATTGGAAATTAATTAAGACAATATAACTATAATTATAATATTAATAATTTATAATATATCTAATATATAATAACACAGCTATTACTGTTTATAGTAATTAGAAAAAGGAAAATATTATTTTTTTATGTGTATCAAAGTAGAAAATTACTTAAGCTAATATCTATTTCTTCTTTCTTATCAAATATATATTTAAAGAAAATGCTTTTATATGATATGCGATCATTATTGTATGTACTTGATATTTAAATATATTTGAAATAATATTCATTTTCCATGGATGTCCATATTTATTAAAAATTTTCAAGATTTTATAAAATGTCTTGATTTAAAATAATAATTCAAACAATTCAAGATTTTTACCATAAACTTAAGTATACTTTTAATTTATTAAGAGCGTACAGTGAAAACCTTCAATTTCCTAAAATTTCACACAGTCTTAATTTTTTTCAATTTATGTATGTTTTACTTCAGGATGCGGTGGTACGATGACAACTGTCACTGGCGATATTATGTCTCCAAATTACCCAGAGTCTTATTCAGCGAATGCAGATTGTTACTGGAAGATAGCCGTGGCAGCGGGCAGTTTGGTGCAACTCGTAATAATCGATTTTGACCTCGAGGATCACTCAAAGTGTCGATATGATTTTATCGAAATATCTGAGGGTATCAGTCATCGTACAAATGGAAAACGTTACTGCGGTACCACGTATCCACATATTATTCAATCTAAATCCAATCTACTGACCATTCGATTTCGCAGTGACTTTAGTAATTCCGCTCGCGGTTTCCATCTAAAATACGAAACGCGTAAGTATTCATATTATTAAGTTGATGTCATGTAAATATATTTTATATTTTAAAAAATATTTTGCGCGCAGCTAAAGATTTTTGATTATGGAGATATCCTACATCGTCAATCGTAGAGTATAATGTTTTTAATCATATAAAAAGTCAAATCGATTTTTTATTAATTTTCAACTTAATTATATAATTACGTTACTTATTATAAAATATTATTTTTATGATACAGAGTGTCACAATAAACTACACGGCTACTACGGTGTAATAGAATCACCGAATTTTCCTAATAAATATGAGCACTCGATAAATTGTAGTTGGATAATCGAGGCTCCAATTGGCAATACGATTAATCTAACTTTCTCACACTTTGATCTCGAAAGAGGCACACTGGACACTTGCACATATGACTATTTGTTAATTATGGAAGGCGACGAAGACAATCCCAACACAGAGTTAAATCGATTCTGCGGGACAGAATTTCCATCGAAAATTAGTTCGACGCAACATCAAGTGTTTATAACATTTATCACGGATTCCTTTATTGCCTTTAATGGCTTTCGACTCGAATGGACGGTGCATGGTTGCGGTGGACATTTAAGTAAGCCGTACGATACATTCACATCACCCGGATATCCATCTGGTTATCCAACGAATATCGCTTGCGAATGGTTAATTGAAGTAGATTATATGCACAGCGTAGAACTCACTTTTCATGAAGTGAGTAACATCTGAAATATCAATTTCACAAATATATAGAAAAGATGTTAATAAATTAAATCATAATTGAAAATGAAAAATTTCCTCTTACAGATAAATACTGAAAAACGGAAAGGTTGCTTATTCGACAAACTGCAGATTTATAGTGGCGACGATGCAGACGCGCCGATATTGGCCGAACTTTGTTTTTCAGAGAAACCAATAATTTACACTAGTCCTGGAAACAAAATGTTTATAAAATTCCAGTCGGATACGTCTTATGCTGGTCGAGGGTTCAACGCTAGTTATAAAAGCGTTCCTATCGAGTGTGGCGGTAAATTTACAACAGATTCGGGTATTATTCATTCGCCTAATTATCCGCAAAATTATCCGCATGGTCAAAATTGCGAGTGGCTGCTAGAAGTCGACAGCAATCATGTTGTGAATCTCACCTTCCTAGACTTTGATATGGAGAATAGTAGAAATTGCACTGATGATTTCGTTAAGGTATATATTATAATTAAAAAAAATATATATTGTAAAATTCTAAGTATGTTCTCATTTAGATCTAATAATAAATATTACTATTCTTGTCTCTCCTATTTCTCTAGATCTTTGATGGACCAACGAAGAATCATCCATTACTAGCAACGCATTGTCACACTCAATTGCCACCGTCCTACGTTTCGACTGGCAATCAGATGTTAGTAGCCATGCGAACCGATAATATAATTTCAGCCAAAGGTTTCAAAGCTCAGTATGTTAAAGCCTGCGGTGCTCGTATAACCGTGAAAGATCACGGTTTCCTTACGTCCTCGAGTGGATATAGCATTAATCAACACGACGAAGCTAATTGTACGTGGACGTTGATAGCTGAGAATCCAGGTAAATATAATCTCTATACTTGTGTCTTAGTTCACATATTTGTATTTCTTTATAAATTTTAATCATTATTCTGCAAATATTATTTTTCATCATTTGCAGGCGATCACGTGACAGTTACCTTCACACATATGGAGATCGATCCACTCGAACTTTCCACATGGGACACCACTTTAGGTCCCTGTTCTTGGGATTACATTCAAGTATTCGAGGGTGATAGTACAGATGGGCCGCTTTTAGGAAAATGGTGCAACAATGTCACACCGCCGCCGATTACAAGCACCGGAAACTCACTCACGCTGCATCTATTTGTACGTTACGAATTTGCTGGCCACTTCGTCGCTAGCTATTCTGTTCTGAATACAGGTGTGCCGATAATATAGTATATAATGATATGATAAAGAATTCGTGAACGATATTGGAAGGCGTTTTTAAAATCTTGTTTATATCTTTTAGCATGTGGCGGAAACTATACTTCTGCGCAAGGCACAATCACTTCGCCGGGTTATCCAAACAGCTATCCATTAAACGCAGAGTGCATTTGGATATTGAATACATCCCCCGGCAATAGGATCACTCTTTCATTTTCCGAATTTAATATCGAATCGAGCGAGAATTGCGATCTGGATTATCTCGAGATACGAGAAGACAGCGGAATTGGAAAACTCATTAGTGTTTCCTGTGGAAAAGATGTCGCGACAATTACATCTTCGAGCAGACTATGGATTAAGTTTAAAAGTGATAGCTCAGGCACCGCCAAAGGTTTTGTTGGCGAGTATAATTTTATTTTTGGGAACGAACTTGAGGGGCCTACGGGACGCATTACCTCGCCGTTGTATCCGATGGCTTATAGGCGTACAGATAAGTTTTCCTGGCGTATCACCGTCGAAATGGATTCAGTCATACGCATCGAATTCACAGATTTGCAAATAGAAAATATCGGAACATCATGTTTCTCTAGAGTCGAGGTAAGTATCATTTATTGAGAGCGATAAAATTTAAAATAGAAAGCACATTGCAAAAAATAAATGCAAATATATTTAATGTACATAAATATTTCATATAATCTCTTTTCAATGAAATTGAAAGTTTTATAAATAATTTAAATTAAATATTAAGCAGTTTTACCTATTTCTGATTAGATATACGATGGGTATGATAATGAAGCAACAAGTCTGTTAAAAGTATGCGGCTATACTCTGCCAGATCCAATACAGTCGTCCAGCAATGTGATTTACATCACGATGTCAACTAATTTTCTTAGACAAGGAAGTTGGTTCGATCTCACGTGGCTTCAAATACCAAGAGATATTTCTCAAGATAATAAAGAGATCAAATGTAAGTTTGCTACATATATACATAACTATTTTTATTATAAATTTTATAAGTAATTACATTATTAATTCTTCGCTAACACAACTATCAGAATTTTAATGTGTACAGCTCTATATATATATATATATATATATATATATATATATATATATGCACAAATACACACAAATATTATTAGCAAATTTAATTAATTTTATTTCCAAACAGTGTCAGATTGTAACAAAGAAATAGCTTTAATGGGTCAGCGCAACAACTCATATGCCTTCAGCTCTCCTGGTTGGCCAACCGGTTATGATGCCAATCTACATTGCAACTGGGTTTTCACATCGCCACCCGGCACGCATTTGAGATTGAGAATAATATCCATGGATTTAGAAGAAACTAACGATTGCATAGCGGATTCGGTTTCCGTTTATTCCGGATATGCATTGACATCCACGAACAATGCTAATCTGCTAAGTAGATTATGCTTATCAAACTCCTCCTGGGTTCAAATCAAAGGGTCCAATATAATGACAGTGAAATTCGAGTCAGATTCGTTTATTAATAAGACTGGCTTCAACGCATATGTGTATCGAGGTCTCTATCTTATTTTTTTGTCTTTTAACAAATTTTCCATTACAGTAAATATTTTAATAAAAAATATCATCATTATTATTTAGATTGCGGAGGTAATTTGACTGATCCCAATGGCGTGATTGAATATGACAATGCCACTTTCACGAGAGCGATTCGCACATGGCGTTTCACTTGTGAATGGCTTGTGACGGTGAAACCCGGTAGAACAATTAAAGTCGAGATTACCGATATGTCGATACAAGAAGCATCTGATCATTCATGTAGCGATAATTATGTACTGGTTAGTAAACATATATTTTTTATCAATTTTATCAATAAAATCATAAACGAAATATTAACGTTTTATATTATAATATATTTTAGTATAATACTTTGCAGAATTAATTAATTAACATGTATTTGAAATAACAGAATCACTTATATGAGAATAGAAATTACTTATATGAGAACAAATTTAATGTTTAAATATTATATATATATATATATATATATATATATATATATATATACATTCAATTTCTTTAGCTAAAAAATGGAGATGGAATGCTTTCGCCTCTGTTAGGCGATGGAAAATATTGTGGCCATGTAACACCACCGGAACTAGAAACCACTGGAAATCGTCTTTATGTTAAAATTACTGGTACAGGTTTTCAATATCGCTTGAAACTCACTTACAGGTAATTTTTGCATGTTTCCCTAGATTGATAATATACTTACGCATGCACGCTCGCATAATTATACAATTATATGTGTACGAATATGTATATCTTTCTCTATATAATATATATATATATATATATATATATATATATATATATATAAAAAACGTTTACTTTTTAGTTTCATTAATAATTAATATCGTAATCTTTTAATCTTTTAATCATTTTTTAGAGAAGTAAGTATGAACTGTGGTGGTCAGTTTATCTTCACAAGTACAAACAACAGATGGACAATATCATCCCCCAACTATCCAAATATTCCTCCTACCTATACTGAATGTACCTGGACAGCTATTGCTCCAGCTGGTGAAAGGCTTTCTATTCATTTCTTGGATAGATTTGATTTAAGTTATTCCGAAAAGTGAGACATGAGATTATATTAGAAAAAAATAAAACAAATATTTTAATTAAAGATCTTCACTATAAAAATGAAGTTTCCACATATTAATATTTTTTTAGCTGTGAAAGAGAATATATTGAAATAAGGGATGGCGGAACTGATAATTCAAAATTTATGGGAAGATATTGCAAGGACATAGCACCCAGTAGTATAAGTACCACTGGCAACATGATGTATGTTTACTTTTATACGGATTTACCAGAACCCAAAAATGGCTTTAAAGCTGCAATTGTTTCAGGAGGTAAATAAGTTTAAAAAAAATGCACTTTATGAATTTTTTAAATGACGTAAAAACAATTATGAAAGAATCTTTTATAAAATCTCCTATGGAATTAATATATAAAATAATACATTTATGATGAACCTGATAACATATGTGCATAAATTTTTTAGAGATTTGTGGTGGTATTTTGCGCGGAACCAGTGGCATTATCACATCTCCGAATTATCCGTATCGTTATCCTGTAAATCAGACTTGCACCTGGTTGCTAGTAGGACCGACAGATCATACTATGAAATTACAATTCCGCGATATACAGCTTCCTGGTTTTCGTCAATGCGATTCGACCGACCACGTAAAAATTGCAGAAAAACTTGCAGAAAATGATACGAGTAAGTAATGACGTAATTAATTATATAAATTTAGATTTGCATTAATTATTGTAACAATAATTGACTTAAGATAATATTTTTTTAGCCTCAGAAATTGGAACTTACTGTGGTCTTCAAAAACCAGATATAATTGAGACATCGACAAATGAAGCATATGTATATTTCCAGAGTGATAATAGGGAGTACATAAGTTACAGAGGGTTCAGTTTAAACTTCACCACTAGTCAAGAAAGTTAGTGACCGTAAAACAAACTTCATTAAACAATTCTCAATTGTACAATTATAAACTTTACTCGATGTATTATCCGTACAATCTCGAATTTTACGTCATATATTATTTGCTTGTAGCATGCGGCGGTTTATTAACGGCAATGAGTGGAATAATTAAGTCACTCGGATATCCTAATCCACGCACACGACCAAGGTAAATTTTTCTTTTAAAGTGGATTTAAATTCTATCAAACTATTAGAATATTTATATAGCAAACATTTTTTATACAAAAGTTATAAAATTATATTGAATAACAAAATTATAAATAATTATATAAATAAATCATCATTTTTAAAAATTTTATAAAATATTGACGACATATTACAGACATTGTAATTGGCGAATTAAATTACCGGTGGGTTATCAAGTGGTGGTAAATATTTTGGATGTAGACATCGTTGACGACTCTGGACCTACACAAGTGGGTTATGCACTTTCGGTAAATAATATAACATATGGCAATAAAATATAAAAAACATTATTTCAAAGGAAAATATATGTACTATAATTTTTCCTTCTTGCAGTTTTATAACGATTTCAGCTTTAAATCAAAGATCAAAGTCTTAGGACAAAGTGCTAGTACAGAAGAGATTAGAAGCTCCAGTAATACCATGATTGTCAACTATTGGTCCTCCGCAGGACACCGAGGCTTCAAACTTCGATACACAGCTCAAGCCCCAGCCCGTAAGTTTCAAAAACCATTATTAATAGTAATTTTCCATTATGCATTATAATGCAATATAAACGGAAATATATTTTTCCAATTGTAATTAATTTTTATATAACTATTATAAAAAAATATAAGAAGGAACATATACAATTTATTAATTTTTCTCAATAACGTGTTACCCGCAGCTTGTGGTGGAAATCTCAGACAACTTGAAGGCAATATAACAGGTCCTACAAGTTTACCGTTTAATCAAACCTCATATGTCTGCTACTGGATATTAGAACCACCTGAAAGTATGGTTGGTTCTATCTATGACAACCGCTTGACATTAACAATAAAAGTCACCGGCTATTTAGGCAGATCTGAAAATCGTTTGGGTATTATTAGAAAAAGATGCATCTTTCCTCAATTCATCGAACTTCAGGGTAAAATAAAAAATACTATTCAACTTCTCAATCTCATCCATTTCTCTCTCTTTCTTTAATTTTTTTATAACAATTGTCCAAATAAGTGAATAAAATATACAAAACGTAATCATTATAGATAATTATATAGATGTGCTAATTATTATAGATGTTGGATCATTATGTGGGAATATAACGGAACCAAGATATTTAAGAAGCCCGAAAATGATCAATATGTTGACGGTAATGTATTATTAATATATATCACTTATTATGAATAGAAGTTATAAATTAAAAGTTTTAAAATGTAAACTGAGATTATTAATTTAATATTAACGTAAATATAGAAAAAAAGAAGTAATGTTAATATCTATTAATTTTTAGATAATGAATGGCACTTATGGAGAACGTACTAATTTTAATCTACAATATCAATGGCAAGCTTGTGGTGGTATTTTGAATGGTTTAACTCATACCATCAGACCGCCAAAGGATATTTCTTATCCAATAAACTGTGTTTGGCATATTAATTATCCTGATGGCGAAACAATCAAACTGACTTTTACCAAACTTGAACTAGAAAGCAATTGTGATAAGAACTATCTCATTGTCAAGTACTGTCTGTTTTATTAAATTCCTTATTTTCGATTAATCTCCGATTTAATTTACATTTGTTTATAATTAGAAATGGTGGAGCGACAGCGCCGCAAATTGCAAAGCACTGCTTGCATACTGCAAATCAACTTCAGAAATATAATATAAGCAGTATATCGAATCAGTTGTGGATAGAATATTACGCGTCGGAAAATCGAAGCGATTTCGAAATTAATGTGGAACCTGTCAACACAGGCTGTGGTGGATCATTAAGCGGTCGCAGTCGCGAAATTGCATCACCCGAGTAATTATTTATGATAATAATGCAGCGCTTTAAAATAAAAGATTTCTTATAATAATACTTTTAAAATATTACAGATTTCCCAAACAATATCCAAACAAGAGTGAGTGTATATGGGAAATAATGGGCGACAATGGATATTCCATAGGCTTAACTTTCATCGATCGTTTCAGTTTGGAGACTAGTTCTAATTGCGAGAAAGATTTTGTGCAGGTCTAATTATACATATATTAAGCTCTCTCTCTTTATTATATATTTATTATTAGATTATTACATATACATGCATTTATTATTTTTTTATTATATTTTATCATATCATATTTTTTATATATTATATATGTATGATAAATATTAAATATTTATTATACATATATAATACATAAAAAAGTTATTTTATTTATAATCTTGCTATAATAATATTTTTATAATAATATATTAGAAACTTTGTATATTAAAAATTATTAACGAAACTACTTATGTAGGTATTTGATTGGATCATGGCAGAAGGAAATGGCAATGGTGAATGGAAGAGTCTCGGCAAGGTTTGCGGCAGAAACACACCTACGCCCTTTAACTCGACATCGAACCGCATGAAGGTGATCTTTCACTCAGACGAAGCAGTACAATCGGACGGATTCCGTGCCGTCTGGAACGAAAATTGCGGCGGTATTTTCAAAGCGACCGAAAGAGTTAACATCATCCAATCGCCGTCGTATCCAAACTTATATCCACCAAACGCGTTCTGTAATTATACCATCGTCGCGCCAGACGAGGACATTATCGTCGAGTTCACTGACTTTCAACTCGAGCGCGGTGAGTAAATCCTTCCTTCTCTCTGCCTGTGATGAAACTCTGTGCATTATCTGCTACTGCAAGCATAATATAACGCCTAGTAAGCCTTTTATGAAGCTACGATAATGTTTGAGATATGAATAAAGTTTCCTAAAGTAAAAAGGAAGAAGAAAAATTGCAAGATTAAAGTGAAGTTAATTTTGGCAGGTCGCGGTGATTGTCGCTTTGACAATGTCACGATCACATCGGAAACTCTGTATATGGACAGTATAGAAAGTGACAGTTATTGCGGCAATAACAAACCGCCACTTCTAAAATCTATCTCATCTCTACAAATTATCTTCATGACGGATAAATATTCGTCGCGAAGTGGCTTCCAATTTAAATATTTTCTCAATAGTAAGTTTCTTGAGAATTTTCATATAGATCATGAAGATAGGTGATTTTTAAAATTATATTGTGAACAATAATCTATATAATTGCTAGAAAATAGTGTGGTTAACATGTGATAATTTCATGATAAAAGAGTTAATAAAATAATTATAGAAAGATTAAAGAAATAACGAAATCAATGTAATTAATAGAATGCGGTGGTATAATAACACACCCAACCGAACTTAAGCCCTTGATGCATGGAGAGGAATATTTCGGCCGTATGAATTGCACTTGGATCATTAAAGCGCCGCAAGGAAAGAGCATAGTTGTACGATTCGAAAAGTTTGTCCTCGAGTTCAGTACAAGGTAAACTTTCAATCGATCTATATCTGTTTATACAATACATTATTCAACTTTATCAATTATTATCGCAAATTTTTGCAGCTGCTACTTTGACAACGTCGCCATTTATGAAGGTGCTTTGGTTAAATCTGATAAACGAATAGCTCTGGTTTGCGGAAACTTGACCGAACATTTGCCAATATTTAAATCCGAATCCAATTCCATGGTCGTCAATTTTAATGCTGATAGCTCAAGACATTTCGCGGGTTTCACAGCTAAAGTATTGTCTATCGTCATTTGATTATATTATTAAAAAAGATCTATCAAAATTGATAATAACAGATACTGAATTTTTCATCACAATTATTATTCGATAGTTTTCGATTTCTTGTTATTTACTTTGTTAACATTCTCAATCAAATTGGGGATGTGTAATAACAATAGACAGTTTTAGGTGCTGTTTACAACAAGTCCAGTTGATGGTTGCGGAGAATTTATCAATATGACCTCCGTCCAAGATAAATCATTTAAAACTCAGCAGGCGGCAACTTATCAATCATTTGAAGAGTGCCATTGGACGGTGGTTACATCGCCAGGCAAAACTATTAGATTTACTATCAATAGTATGGATATAAAAAATTCAACTATTTTTAATCAGTCTATTTCCGTCAATCAAAGTGATAAATGTAACGGTGATTACCTCGAAGTAAGTTTGCATTCGCGTTTGATAAATATTTCTAAAAATACTGAAACATTGCATTGCAGCAGTATATATTAATGCGTAATGTAATATCGCGTGTAAGGATAACAAAATAGTACAAAACAAAAAAAAATTTAATAGTTTCTTGCTATTCTCCAATATATAATATTGATTAGAAAATTAAAATTAGCAGTGAAAAAAAAGAGATCGCAAAGAAGAAATACATATTAATTTAACAAAATTGTAAGATATTCGTTTTAATTATATATATATTATAATTATAATTATATAATATATTATAATTATAATTATAATTATATAATAATTTATTACGCTAAAATATCAAGTATTTTTTATTATTTTCAGGTTCGAGATGGTGCTGGACCGTATGCCGTACTTTTAGGACAGTTTTGTGGAAATGTATTGCCATTTCCTATAATATCTACATCAAATATGTTATGGATTAGATTTTATAGCGATGGCACTAATGAAGGTGCAGGTGCAACGGGCACTTTAAATGTTGTTAATGGTAAGAAATTTCATATTTATTATTACATTATTGTATACGACAAAATATATTTGAATGTGGAATTCTTTCTCTAAATGATTTAGTGTCTAAAAATAAATATAAAAAAATAATTCATTACTTTTCTTTATTAGAATTATTTCCGTTGATTTTCTTAAACACGTTGTTTTATTTTAAATACCTAAAAATCTCTATTGTATTTTCGATTATAGATTTGTTTTTTTATTAATATTATTTTGATAATTACTTTTCTCATATTACAGCATTGTGTGGCCTAAATACTCGAGTAGTAAACGAAACAGTGCAGATACTCACTTCTCCAGGTTATCCAAATACGCATACAACTGGAATACAGTGTCGTTGGATTTTGCGACATCCTGATAAATATACTGATAGACTGCGAATTCGATTTATAGATTTCGATATGACGAACTCTAACAAATGCGAGGATGAATATTTAGAAATTAATGAACAGTCAGTAAGTAAAGAATAAATACTGTTAGCCTGTTTGATTCGTTGACAATATCTATTTTAGAAAAATGTGATTTGTTCTCTAACATAGATAACAATTAAAAATTTTTTTATAATATATGTATGTATGTATAAAAGTGATATGTATAAAATTGACTTTTTTAATTATTAGAAATACATAAACGAAGGCTTCGGATCAGACTTTATTTATAATGGCATACAGCAACATCCGATAAGCGTCGAGATGGTAAGTTCTTTATCTTATCAATAAATTGCATTTTGTTTTATTAGAATAATATTTATATTTTACATACGATTATTTCTTATATATATATATTTTTTTTTTCATTTATATTTTATTTAAAATTTATACTTATTTTATATTATATTTATTTTAGGGCAGCCATTTTCCTGTCTCCTCATACAAATATTGCGGCAGCGAAACGCCACACGACTATTACAGGTATTTGCGCAGAATTTATTCTGCTATAAATTATAAATCACTATAATTAAAAACAGAATATTACATCAAATCGATTTTTTCTATAGTTATGGCGACAGCATTCAACTAACTTTTAAATCGCTGTCGAATGATCATAAAGGTTTTAAATTGGAGTACAGTACAGCGAATTGCGATCGAAATTATACGAGTGAACAAGGACGTATCTTTCATCGCGGATTTACGAACTGCTGGATTACAATTACCGCCCCTCAAAATCACACCATTTCTTTGTATTTCAATCAATTTAACATTTACGATACAGAACATTGCACGCGGAACGCATTGCAGGTATTTATCTTATTTTTCCTTATGCTAGGATAATTGTATGAGAAATCAAAGATTGTTAATTTGTTTTTACGAAAAAATCCAAGGAAAATTTGTCCTTACGATACGCATCACTGCATTATTTATTCTAAATTCGCTATTATTATGTTTAAATTTTTAAGTAAATTTGTGCATTTTATAGATTCATGATGGTACCTCCAGTGGACCGCTCATAAGGACTATGTGCAGCATAGCTACGCCAAGTCCGATTTTCAGCACTGGCAATAAACTCACCCTGCACTCCTGGACCACGGATTTCAATTCTTATCAAAGTTATGACATCATTTACACGACCACGGATGCAGGTATGATACACGTAGGAAGGGACACACAACAAATCGCTCTGGCTCTCCTCACTCCTTGCTCTGTCCCTTCGTATCCGATTAATGCACGCCACCAGATGCGGAGAAATTACAATGCGATGATTTACGAGGGTGCAGCGTCACGAGATACGCGCTCGTGAAATGTTGCGGTTTATTTTCGCGCGGGATCCGATTATACGGTGTCGTTTCGCTCGTATTAAAACATGCATATATATATATGGTGTCTTTCAAAAACGAAATTGCGCAGGTCGAGGTTGCGGCGGTCGCATATTCAATTACGGCGGTAAATTCACCTCGCCGTTGTATCCCAATGTATATCGCAACAATACCCTATGTACTTGGGATGTAAGCGTGCCACGAGGCTTCAAGATCATTCTTGAGTTCACTGTCTTCGACCTCGGCACGAACAAAAACTGTGGCAATAATAATGTCAAAATTTATGATGTTGTTCCTAGCGGTGAACTTTTACGTAGCACTTTTTGCGGCGGGGTAAGTTATTTTGTGAAATATACTTTATAATCCGTTTTCAAGAACAGTTTATTACTTAATAATACGTTTACTACTTAATAATACGTTTTCAAGAACAGTTAATTCTGCAAATAATAAAACGTTTTCAAGAACAGTTTACTACTTAATAATACGTTTATTACTTAATAATACGTTTTCAAGAACAGTTAATTCTGCAAATAATAAAATTAATTATCTAATTATTTTTTACATCATATATTTTGAAATTTTCAAAATCTTTTCTATAATATATGTACAATTAAGAATATTATTTCTTGCATAGGATGATCCAGCAAGATTGGAGATTGATACTGATCGAATTCTTGTTAAATATACTTCGACAATGAACAACATTGGAACAGGATGGGTTATTTCGTTTATGGCACAATCTGCTGGTAAGTATAAATATTCATCTTCGCATAGTTATGAATGTAAATTGTTCTGCTTATAACTTATAAATCGTACACGTGTATGTGTGACAGAAAGATAAAAGATCATATATATATAATTCTGAAATAATATTTTTAGTTCATCCCATCAATATAATCGACGGCTGGTAAGAGGACTCTTAAGAGACTGTAAAAAGTGATGTTTAGAAATTCAAAATTTAATGTCAGAGAAATGTTTTTCTCAAATTTATATATAATTAACTGTAAATAAGCAAAATAAATAATATCGCTTGATATAGCGCATGATTCATTTGATGTGATCAAATTGATATAACACGACAAAATAACATAAATATATTATATTAATATAAAGTTTATGAGTGTTCTTCATTGTTCGATAATTTAGTGTTTTTTTAAATGTTGTATCAAAATATTATTCCTCCGATCTTGTACACTCGTCGTCCTGAGCTGGACAATTTTCTTCGTTTTCTGTCTGGCTTTGTTCTATCGTTTCTTTTTCTTTTAAATGTTCAACTTTATTTACAGTTTCTTCTTCTTCGATAGGATTTTCCACTTGTTTCTCCTCGGTTTCCTCTTCCTCTTCCTCTTCCTCTTGCACTGTCTCCTTTTTTTCATTTTTCTTACATTCCTTCGATATTTCCTGAGCTTCTTGCTTCTCCTTCTTGCTCTTGTGCATGTTTTTTTCTTGCTTGGAATCTTCAGATAACAAATCAGTTTCGATTAATTCTTCCTTAGTTGTTTCGGACTCCGTCTTTTTTGGTATTTCTTGCTTCTTCTTTTTATCATACTTTGTCTCTTTACTTTTTTTCTCAACAACATCTTGAGCGTTTTTAGAATACTCTGATTTAGAACGCTTTACCTTTTTGTTTTGAACCTCAGCATTTGTTCTTTCTTTAATGTTTTCTATTTTCTCAATATTTTTGGATTTTTTCTTGTTCTTTCCTTCCTTCAAGCTTTTCTCCGATTTTTGGCGAATCTCAGAATCAGAAGTTTCAAAATGCTTCTTAGATTCTCTAGATTGTTCTTTGACAATCTTATCTCTCTTATTTTGTGTTTCCGTTTTCGTCTTATCTTTCGAGTATTTCGGTTTATCTTTGGAATTTTTACTTGCTCCCTCGCTTATTACAATATTTTCCTCACGTTTGTTTCGTTTATTCTTTAATTTCTGCTTTACATTATCAGAATTCTTTGCTTCTGAGTATTTTTCGGAAGGAGTTTCGACATTTCGTTCCAATGAGCTACTCTTTCTCTTTTTTTGTTCTTTAGAATGTTTGTCTTTTCCTTTCGATTGATGTTTATCTCTTAAAAAAATTAATATGAATAACATAGAATCAAGCAATGAATAATATTATTAAAAAATATGTTACAACTTTAAAATTATGTTAAACTTTAAAAATATGTTAAACTTTAATAGTCTATATTTTTATTTATTTTTATCTAAATATAAATATAATCTTTTTTCTAATTTTAAATTTTCTAGTTTAACGTAACATGACAAAAAGATGCTAAACGCAAAAATATAAATCGAAATCTTTCTTTATTTTCTGTTTATCAAGTAATACTCACTTTGTATTATATTCTACATTGATTTTGTCTTTCTTCTCATGTTTGTCTTTGGATTCCACATCTTTGCTTGAATGTTTTGCAAAAACTTCTGACGTAAGTATTATGACTAATAAAAGCGCAGTCAACAATATCCACAATCTACGAAGAATAGATCAAATTCTGTTTTTTAAATTTTCTCATATCTCAGAGACGAAGTCGATATTAAGATAAACATGCTATCACGATAAAATAATTATTTTTGGATCGATACAACAAATGTTATAATATATGTATTATCCAAATTAATAAATAAAATACTGTTTAAAAAATTCTTTTATCAAAAACATATATTTGTATTATTTATCTTAACATCTAAATCATGTCAATATAAGAAATATGTTGATAATTCGTTATGAAGTCAAATTTTATATATATTTCCGAATTCTTCAAATAAAATATTTCTCTTACCGCATTGTGTGTATGATAATTTACGGATTCCACTTAATTTTGCACTTTGACTTTCTTCGCATAAACAATTACGAGGCCAATCTGGCGCAACACTATCTCTGTTCAGATATTGCTTGCCCCTTATATCTTCGTACGTTGTCACTAATGTCAATAATATCTCGATAAACACGTATGTTCATCAGCGCCGTTACACTGTTGATATCGCGAATGTTATCTAAATCAAATCTGTGTAGGAATTATAATTTAATAAGCGAATGCGTAGCGTGCGCACGAGGTTCAATACAAAACTTTCTGACTGAACTCATATAATAATAGGCATGACCTAGAATGCCTTGAAACGTGATAAGATGATAAACATTTCCCACTCTCTTTCTCTTTATCTCTTCTTATGTTTCCATTAGATATTTACATAATTTAAATATTTATATTTTATATATAATATATAAAACATAAATGTCTCACAAATTTTTAATATTTTAATATATTTATAATAAATATTTATAAAAAATATATAATCTAATATCAATAACGATTAACTGACAATTTAAGCATCTTCTTAGTTAATTATCTTATTGTTAGTATTAGCACTCACACACTATGGCATATATGTAACAAATAACCACAATTATGTATTTATTCTAAGTATTTTTTAAAAGACTTAATTAAAAAAGTTAATGTTAGTAAATGATGTAGTAAAAAAAACCTATATATGTAATTTAGCCTATATAATTTATTTTATAAATATCAAAAATAGTACCAAATACTGTAATAAATAATTTAATACTGTAATAATCTTAGAATCTATTCTTTTTCTCTTTCTTGTGAAGACTATTTTTTTGTTAAATAAATTCATCGTTATTTTATACATCAAATAAATTATAACATCAATAATATTGAAAAATAGATTTAAATAAAATTATGATAAAATAAATTAAAATAACAATCGAGTAACAATATATTTCAAAACGTTCTCAATCGAGTGGAATTAATTATTGTATTAGGAAATGCTAACAGGTCTACAAAATAATGCGCAAAATGTGCGATAATAACCATTTATCAAAATTAATTCGAAATGCAAGAAACAGAATATTTAGTGTTAACATCTCCTGAAATGCGATTATTCCATATGAACAATTAATGATTATCAGCTCGCGCGATTAATTGACTACCATGATTAACGATTTGTAAGCGTATCGAAGCAACGATTATATATTGAAGTAGATAATTACGCACGATTTATTCAAAGTAGAAATCGAAGCGATAGGAAATGAAAATTATAAATTACTGTTTCATGATATTTATAAGAGATAATTATTACTTTTTAACATTATTTTTAAATTGAAATATACTTTATATGGTGCTTTAAATTTTTTTCAATAATTTTAATATAATTCAATCAACTAATTTAAATAACAGAAAGTTTATATTAATATTTTAAATATTTCTCTGTTAAAATGAACATAAATATTGCTTGTAGACATATTATATGCAATGATGCGAAATCACATCACGCGATTCTTTGGCGAAAGTATTGATTACTTACGCAAGTAAAGAATAAGTAAAACTAATAAAAATAAAAATAACAAATTTTGTACTCACTCCATAAATTCCGCTCGATGTCTGCCAAGGTTTGTTTTTGTCTTCATTTCTACTTTTTGATAATTTTTCAGCAATTATTCACGGAAGCATAATTAATTATGATCACATAAATAATCTGATATACGATAATCGCGCTTTATACAGCACTCCCGATGTAAATCAAACGCAATGCGTATCTTGTTATATTGCGACAAAATAATGCGACAGAAACATGATTGTACGAAATTACAATTCACACGACATCCGCCGCGTTTCACAAACTAATGGCGAGAGAGAATTCGAAAATTGCGCGATTAACTTCGCGCGTCACCTGCTGCGGTCAACTTTACGCGATCTGCACTTTCATGTGTCGTGATATATCAACTGTGTGCATTTGTGTGCATTCGGCGAAGTACATACATTCGAATTGTGTTGCGAGTACAATATCAAATTTTAACTATACATTTTTACACGGTTTATCGTTATTTTTATATACAATTAGAATTAAAGTTATTAATTACGTCATATCAATTGCCGATGCTACATTCATATTGCTTGATCACCGACAGAAAGTCATGGATGCAGGATCGAATCAAGAAGCGTTAAATCAGTAGTAATTAATTTCATATTTTAATATTTGTCAGTAACATTGTTCATATTTGCATATTTATCTGTAATTTTACTGTATATACTTATTCATTTATTATGATACGAAATTTTAAATGCTCTAAAATAAGTCTGCGCAAACGTGTATTAATGGATCTGTTCTTTTTAGCTGCACCGCTGTACTAGTGCAATAAGTTAGAAAGAGAGAGACAAACATTTCTTCCACTCTAACTAATTGCACTAGAGTGCAGCAGTGCAGCTAACAAGAACAGGCTCAATATTGTGGCTGCGTTTCAATATTCACTGTCAGTACTGAAAATCTATAATTTACGTCACACGTAAACTATTGAGATTTTCAATACTGGCAGTGAATATTGGAACACAGCTTGTAAAGTACAAAAAGTGCAAATAGAAAATCTAGCATCGTCGCGGCGAGTGGCGCGTGAATTGGCGTGCAATTTTCAGACGCCCTCTGTCATTCGTTTGCGAGTGTCATGGCGCGAATCAAACGTATTGTAAAATTTCGTGCGGTGTTTCGTAGTTTTTTGTATTATATATCCTTCATAGCAATATGTGACAAAATGTTAGTCGTTTTTGATCGTATTGTTTTTCGTCGCAGTGCGTAAGTGCAGTCGTGTTTAATTACCTGCGGGAGAGTCATTATAAAGTGCTGTAAAATCGTATTCCAAGTAATTTGTGCAACCGTAATTAATCGCGAGTGATTATATGAACGTTCTGTGAAAAAACGGAGGAACAAAGTTCCAGAAAAGAGATGTCTTGAAAGATATCAGGCAACGGTATTATAATCGTGAGGTGAGTGTAAAACTGATATTATTTTCTACCTGCATATATTATTTTCTACCTGCATATATTATTTTCTACCTGTATATATTATTTTCCGATTTATCTTACGTTGCATTCTTTTTTTGCATTGTTGTACATATGTATAATATATGTATCAAGCATGTTTAATATTGATTACTGTAAGAGATAAATATTTGCTTGAATAATTAATAAAATATTCATATTATTTACATATATTTATTCATTTTTTTTAGATCAAATACTGCAATTTACCGCTGCGCATCGTGTGTCGGTGAGTGTTATTTTTTTAATATTAATTTATAGATAAAACATTCATGAAGGGAAAAATATAAATAATAATAAAGATATATATGATAATATATATATGATGTTTCATGACTCATCTTAAAGTGGTTAATGGTATAATTCAAAACTTTATTCCTAAAAAGATAAAAAGATATTGAAATATTAATGTAAAAATTTATTTTCTACAATATTGCTAGAAAAAGAAAAAAACAAATTTGTTAAAATTATTTTTTTAAAATTATTTTTATAAAATATTTATTATTCTTCTAACTTAATTACTTTTCTAATCTTTTCTGAAAATTTATTAAAAAATTTCTCACAAAATCATGCATTTATTATTTATCAGCATTTATTCAATTATAATTCTATAAAATTCAAGAATATATTGCAATAGCCCAAGAAATCTAAATATATAATTTGTAATGTGCAAACTTTTTTGGCCTTCAAACATCTATACAAAATTAAATTTGTTCTTACCATACTTGATGAGTCATTAATTTTTTGTATCAGTGTAATTGCTTTTTGGAACTTGCAATATTTTAAGTTTAAAATACATATATCACATATAATATATACTTTAGAAAGAATTATATGTACATATATAGTAAAAATGCTGTGATTAATGAAACTATATGTGCTTATATTTTCAATTAAATCGTATCATATCTGTTATATAATATCTGTCATATTTCTAAGAATAACATTTCGCATAATACATAGTCTCTACTATTAACTTAGCGCTCCTGGTCCTCGACTTTAGAAATGCTAAAATTCTTATGAATTCTACATTAATAATAATAATAAGTAATAGTTATAAGTTATAATATAGAGTTATAATATAAAGATGTCTAAAGAGAGAAAAATTAATAATATTAATGATATTGTCATATTACGCACCAGTCGGAAATGCCTTCATAACATCAGTAAGAAATGAATTAAATTAAAATTCATATTGAAGAACAAAATTTTATCTTTCTCTCTATTAAAATCTATTAATTTAATAAAGAAATATATAAGATAGATATTTTCACAACATAGTTAAAAAACGTTTTCTTTAATAATTAAATATTTTATGTACTGTATTTATAAATATTAATAAAAATAATATCATTTTTTCCATAAAGAATTCATAATTAAATTCTATAAATATATTATACAAAACAAAAATAATGTAATATTTCTATATTCTCATAATATATTAGCATAAAAACATTACATAATAATATATAATCAATTAATGTAAATCTTATATATTTACAGAGATCTTTATATATTGATATATACTTTTTGATTGCCAATATATATCTCTATATACAAAGTACTTTGTCCGCAAATAATAAAATTAAATTAAAAAAGAAAGTTAATTCTTCATATTCTATTAATTCAATGAAAGCTTTGTAAAATTAAATTTACAATACTTCCATATATAATTTATTAAAATGATTATATATATGTGATTAATGTAATCATTGCAATATATATTTATAAAAATATTAATTCTTAAAAATATAATAATCGACAACATAACATTTTCTCTCTTATGACATTTACATAAATGACTATATAATCTTATATAATCCCAATATATAAACAAATCCTTTTATAAATATATTTAGAATACAAATTGTATATGAGAGAGAGACACTACATATAATAAATATTTTTTCTTTATTTTAATAATGGCAGGTTAATAGATAATGTCATTTTGACAATTGTAAACATTTTATCAGGTATCACCTATATATCTAATTCTCTATATTAATTTATAAGAATTAATGGATTATTAAAAATATCAGGAGAACTCTGTTATAGCTTTGTTACAATTTAAAGATCTATGTGTACCACAAGGCACTGATTGTAAAAAATAGATATTATGAAAATTTCCCAATTCTAAAATTTTACTTAATTTTTTTTATTTAATTTATGATAATTAGAATCATATTCTATTTCAAGAATTATAAATAAAAGTTATTTTTAGCAAATTTATATTTTAAGTGTCTCTGAACTTATAGCAGATTTAAGAGAATAATATTTTTGCATACTTTTGAATATATATAGGCATTTAAATATGTAAAAGATTATATATACGTGTATGGATATGTGTGAAATCTTTGTTGTGCTTTCACACAAATAAGATGAAGTAAGTAATAATGATTTCATATCTTTACGAGATCCACATTTTATAAATTAGTTATGTCCCGCATCATCTTATGAATATAATTCATGATAAAGAATGTAAACAAGCAAAATCGGAACATTACTGCATATATAATACTTATTATTAGAATGCAAAGTTTCTTTGCGAGATATAAATAAAGATATTAAATTTTTATTCTATCAGATAATATAAAATGTTTATTCTTCAGATAATATAAAATGTATTGTTTTCTTGAAAACAAACTAATAATAAAATGAAATTTTGTTTAAATTTAAATAATATATACGAGAATAATTATATGCGTTAATCGTATTACTGTCTGGAATATTATTAATGTCACACAAGAGATAACATATCTTGGACTCTATCCAAATAAAATGCCTTTAATCATATTTTATTTCATTTCATAATTTTCGTCTATTCATAACTAATTATTTTTTCAAACATATATGTGCACTTATAGTACATAATCTAAGAATTTAAACATTTTGACATATTTGAGGTATTCTTCATAAAAATATAATTTCCTCGCTATATATTGTATTTTCTGATATCTATATCACTTTTTTATAAATATTAACAATCAGCTATTCTATTTACAGAAATGTAAATATTGAAAAACAGAAATATAGTGTTGAAAATGTAACTGTTATATACAGTTTCATGTGTATATATATAAAACTATGTATATAATTATATTTATATTAAAGACTCTAAGAGAGAAGATTCAATAATAAATAAGAAATAATATTTATAGCATAAAGATAAAAAATTAATTCAAAAAAATTAACCGAAAAATTTAAAAATTAATTTGATATTTATAAGTCGAAATAAAGATACATTATGTTTGTTTCGATAAATTTGATTGACTCGAAACAATTTCATTTCTCTCATGAAATAAATCATTTAATGGCTGAGAATCTTCTTGAATAGATTGAGGATATTTTTGATCAGGATAGTTCCATGCTTGTATATCCGCTGTACCAAACATTTGGTAGGCAATATATGTACTGCAGCATACACCTGCAGTGACTGCAAATACATTTCTCCATGCATCAAGAGATTGCTATTGAAATATTATAATAAATTTTTTTATTATATTATATTGCTTTTAATTTTAATGCACAATAGAGAAAAAAAGAAAAATATAATACTTACGCTTTCTTGTGTAAGCAAACCAGCTGCTATAGGAGATAAAAAACTAGCGGTCATATGAATTGTCTGTGCAAATGCCAGTACCGGTCCTAAAAAAATATATCGATTTATAATGAAATTATTGGAATTTTCAAATGAATGTATTTGCGAAAATTGCGCATACTCACCAGCGAAATTGGGTGCTATGTCGACAATATTAGCCATTGCACCCGCGTAACCAGCTGTTATGAGAGTAACAGCTATAAACCATATAATTAAAACGAGAATGATATCACAACCTAAGTACCCAATTAAAACTACGAGAATTCCAGGAACCACTTGAGCTAAAAAGAAGCAATGATTATTTGTAATTCACATACAAAGTGTCTAAGTATTAATTAGTTTAAAAAAGCAAAGGACTTACATAGCGCAGTAAATATCTTGCGTACAGTAATTAAAGTCATGATTTGCCGCGTAACCAAGAGATCTGCGATGTAGCAAAATACAACAGAACTTAAATAGCTACAAATAAAAGGGGCACCTGACAGAATACCATTCTAAAAAATAAAGTTATTATTTTGATAAATATTATATTGATAAAATAAAAAGCTAGATTTTTTGGGCTAATAAATGCATACTGCCTGTATACTAAATCCTAATACTGTCTTCATGTACATCGGACCAGGAATGATAAAAACATAATGTACCCATATTCTTCCAAAAGTTGTGATACCAATAGCCCATGCTGGCCAAGATGTGAGTATAGATTTCCAAGGGACAGGCAGATCCTTTAAACATATTAAATAATATGTTAGCGCGTTTATTCATATAAAGAATCATTGGATAACAGATATACTGCCTTACCTCATTTGCTCCGATAACTTGATTTCTAACACATTCTTGAATATAACGGAGTTCCAACTTAGATATTCTGGGATGCGAAGCAGGGGTATCGAAGGCGCAGAAGTACCAAAAGATGCACCAAACGAGACCGATGCTACCAGTCGTGTAGAATACGATCCTCCATCCAAAATGAGCGATGATAAACGCGCACAACGGGTAGGTCAATCCAATGCCGATGCTGAACCCTGAATATAGATAATCTAGATGTTAGGCGTAGCTCACCCTACGAGCCGGAGGAAAGCTGAAACATGATGCTTGTCGAATGGCCTTCGGTCTTGATTTGTTACGACACTCATGCGTGGTGATGATCATTCTTCAATCATGATGTACGTGTTTCACCCTGTAAAGCGATTCAAGTAAAGACTTAGTACGCGGGGACGAGGACAGACATGATGAAGCTGTTAATGGTGGGACAATGAAACTTCTATATCTGCAAATAATAAGAGCATAAACTCGTTCTACCTGCATGAGTGTCATTTTTTTTTACACAAAGAGGTATTACAAACAAATATAGTGTAAATAATGAAAAATTAATAATAATATGCGTACAAGTTGAAAAAGCAGATTTTTAATTCTCATAACACTTAATTCTTATAACATTCTAATTATATTAAATAGATGTAGAACATAAAAAAGTAATTTGTAGCATATGAATATTTTTAATATTATGGAACCCCTCATTCGTATTGTAATAAACTAAGTAATAATGTTTATTCAATATGAAACTCAGAAATCATAAATATTAGTTTAGAGCACATGTCAGTAGCAGTAAGAAAATTTAACGATTAATTTAAACATATGGATTAGTAAGCAAGCATAAAAATATAAACGCCGTATCAGAAATATACGAAACGAAGCTTGTATCTTTGTCTATGGTCAAAATTTGAGTGAGAAAGATGATTAGATTAACTCATACCGCAAACTGGATATAACCAAGAAATAGAACTGACATACATATAAAAGAGACAAATATATATATATATACAATAATATGTATATGCCTGACGAGCCCGGCTGATTCTACCAGCTGGAAGTATACTCGGCCTTTCTCATGCTGTTGAGCGGTCGCTGTTGAGTATACCCCTCGGTCCGGTGAATGCAACCTTGTGGAGATGAACTATTCAGGATCATTAATAAGCGATCAATTAGCGCAGATCAATGCGCACAGCGTTTATATAGAAAGTTCTCATTTAATAATAAATTATATTCTTGGTCTGGAATTTTGACTGAAACAATAATGTAGTATAGAATAATTGCTTCTCATTCCGTATTCCATTCTGAAAGAAGCGTGCATTAGTATTCACGAAAATACAATTAAAAGTATGCGATTTTCATTTTATGGCATTACACTTGCAATGCAATATGACGGAACGCATAGCTTTAGCTTAATTTTGCCATATCGAACGTATCGAAGTTTCACTGTAACACATGAAAATCTCTGTTAGCTGTTGACACTTGATAACATACCTTGAAAGGAAGACATGAAGCGCGAGCGTTCTACAGGTGGAATCCAATGTCCAATTACAGCATACATTGCGGGCCATGTAAGTCCCTGTTTTCAAAAGAAAAAAAGATAAACAAAAATTATCAATCTACTTCAAATTATATACATCCAAGCATACATCTAAGCAATAGATATTTATGACAGTTAAAAAATGTTTCAAAAATTTGTCTTTATGATATGTGATGATTAACTGCCTTTATGATATATTTTATATATTTGCATCGTCTTGGATATAATTGTAAAATTTTTTATTATTTTAATTACATAAAAACTTACACTTGCAATGCCTTGTATACTGCGTAATGCTATCATTGCCCCATAATGGATTTCCGCGGCTGTCGGCATGAGAAGGCTGCATACGGCAGTAACGACTTGAGATCCGCCGAATATAGTTTTAGTGCCGAAATATTGAGTGAGAACACCACCAAGCATTTGTGATAGTATGTAACACCAGTAAAAGGAGCTGAGAATAGCTGATTGGATAGCTGGACTCCATTCGAACTCGCCATCCTCCTATTCATAAGAAAGGCATGATTTTTTATTACTTATGCACAAGAATCACTCCATTAATATATATTGCAGCAAACTTGTATTAAATAAATTAACTTCCCACCGAAAGATGTGATTGGATTTCTTTAATATTTAGAGAAAAATTCAATAAAATGAATCTAAATTCGCATGAGATTTTTATTATTTTCATTAAAAAATGCTGTATATTACCCCCTTTGGGAAAATCCAAGTGTTACTTTTAAATTAAGATTTCTTGCTTGCTGATATTTTTTGTTATCATAATTGTAAACATCTTTTGTCATTACAAAGATATTAAAATTTATTTAATTTTATTTTATTCTCTTGAATTGTTTTGCGACGTTGGTGATAAAATTAGAAATATCATATTAGTTTTATATGTCATGATTTTCGGATGAGAAATAATATAAATGTTATCATCATTCATCTTGTCAATTTCAAATAAGTGACTCACTATTAATACATCTCTTGCGCTTAATCATATTTCCATCTTACACATTATAACAACAAAAACGTGCATAAAAACGTCTGCTAATCAATCTTTTCTCGACATTAAAATATTGCATGTGTTTGAATTTTATTCGAACTTTAGCACAGCCAATTCTCTCTCTTTTTTCTTATTACATATAGATGATACTTATTAATTCATAATATCCAAAGATTCATTATCAATAATATTTTAAATAATTATTTAAAATATTTATTTCCTCGCGTTGAATTTTTTTATTTTTTTATATTAAATTTATTTATATGTGTGAAACTAAACAAAACTACAAAGAAATTTTGCATGCTTTTGTTGACACGTGGAATGCATTTATATCATAATGATATGGACGATGATGTCTATTTGTATTCATCATATTCAAACAGGTTATCGTGACATTAATCGTGCAAGTCATTATACGAAATATTCTGACCTGACTAAATAAATATTACGTCCACATATTTCTTTTCTCATTTAAATGCAATTTGAATTTGACAAAAACAGTTTCATAAAAAAATGACAAAAAAATTAAAAAAATGATTCCATTTGATTGCAGATTGGATAGAAAATAAATTGTTATTTTTCAAATATCATGCAACGAATGGTCTGTATATAATGGAAAAAAAATATGCACTATATAATTTATCACATTATCGCCATACTTGCGTAAGCATACCTCCGGCCTAATTATAGTCTTATTTTCCACATGTGACGCATTCGATATTATATAGCAATGAGACGATACAGCGATAGTTTCATTGTTCAATGTTGATGGTATTTTCGCCATGGCTACCATAGCAATGTTGATGTCCGTTCTCATCATGAAAGACACGAGGAATCCCGAAAACGAGAGCATATACAGCACAACTCGTGCTGGTACCATATCTGTAATCAAAAAAATCTACATGTGATTATCAGAAAGAGCAACATACTGATCATATTAATGAATTTGCGCTAGAAAGCGAATTTATAATAGCATCAATCATCATATTTAACTATTTTTTAAATAAAGCTTTCTCTTTAAATCATGTTATTATGAAGATTATTACCTCCTAATCTTCGTAAACTGCAAGATTGCCGTTCTTTATACATACTAGATTCTTCATATCTGTAAAATAAAATTACTGCAAGATATTCCGTAGTACAAATAAACAAATCGTAAGTCGCATTTTAAAAGATAAATATCTTTGATATACTTGATCGTCAGTTTATTTAATTAGAACGCTAATCTATATGTAACGAATGGCGATAATGGGAAATACGATAAAAAATAAACATAATACACATTTTATGAAATATATAAGTTATTACTTATCTATTCAAAAAATATTTATGGAAAAAAAAGTTTATATAGGACGTCCTAAAAATACTAAATTTTTTTAATGACAGATTTTTTGGTCAATTTTTAATCGATTTTTTCTTAAGGAATATATCGAGAAATATTATTATTTTTTTACGAATTTTTAATTTTTCATTTTTGTGTAACTAATTGTAAGTTTCAAATTAAAATTTTGTTAAACTAAATTTTACTTAAAAATGAAGAAATGAAAAATATAGTTTTGTTAACTCTTCATCAAATTTAATTAATAAACCCTTCTTTTTCAACAGATTTCAATTCGAAAATCGATGGTATTTTCATTAAAGAAAAATCTAAATTAGACAGAGTATTTGTTAGCAAAAGACATTCAAAATTTTGGGACATTCTATATACTACACGAAGATATGCAAAAATAGTTTATAAAATTAATAGTAGGAAATATATATATATATATATATATATATATATATATATGTTCTCAAATATGTTTTTTCACCTTTGAAACTCTTCCATTTTTTTGTGCGACTACAGTTGTTTGAACGAAGTATACCAATATTTTGTGCGAAATAAAAGCACAAAGATCACCTTGGATTCTGTAAAACACAGAGAGAATTTATTTAACTTAATAATCATATTTTTAAAGAAAAGAAAATTTATAGGGAAAAATTTTATAGAGAAGATAAGATCGTGTGACGTCATTCGCTTCATATCAACATTTGCATCACCTAACGTATAATATGATGTCAATAAACTTGCAAGGTATTCAAAGTATTGCAAGGTTATCACTTATGAGAATAAGATGAAATTCCTATACGTGGAATTTATATCGACATTCCTGAAACTCTTTGTATGGAAAAACTCTTTGCAAAAATTTATTTATAAATGATATTTATATCCAATAAGAACGCAGAAATTAATTACATTAATATACAAGATATACATATTAATAAACAAGAAATTAATTTTATAGAAAAAAATTGCGCACTTTTTATCCACACAATAAATGGTGGATGAATTATGATTTAATTGTTGCGTTAATTGTAATTGTGGAAGTACCAATAACAATATAATAGCATAAAACTCTTATTGTTTGAAGATTTTCATTTTTGTTAAGCATATAAAATCTTTTCTAATATATATTTTGCAAAATGATCAGCGCGTATAATTATCTACATTATTTATAATGGTTTTTAAGTCTTCGTTTATAATTTATAATACATAATTCGATATTGTTTATATAAATATAAATATAAATAAATAAATAAATAAATATATATATATATATATATATATATATATATAAATGATTAGATGATATAAATTTTACGATAATTTTTATGTATATTATATATATAATTTAATATACAAAAAAATACCAAATTATTTACTGCTAAAAAGAAATATAATTATAAAACACATTTTATAAGTATATTGCGTAAGACATAAAAAATAATTACATATATTATTTAATATATTTCTATATTCATATATTATTTAATATATTTCTAAATTTCACATTTTATATATCGAATCGCCAGCAAATTTTTAATCCACATCTGCGATATATTCAAATGAAACGTTTAACTGATCTCTGTAGCATAAGCACGCGCGTGATTAAGATTGCACGTCGGATATTAGATTTCCGCAAGAAATCGTTGCTATAAAAGATGTATGCATGACTCTTGCGAAATTAGTTAATAGTAAAGCTACGTCTTGGAGACATACAATGACTATGCAAAAGAACTTTATGCAACAATAAAAATAATATAATTGATTTAAAACACAATCTTCATAAATAGAACGTAATGTATAAAATGTATAGAATAAAAATTTTAAAAATAAAATGTATAGAATAAAAATTTTAAAAATAAATTCTTTTATTACTTTATTAATTTATAACGTAAGAATCGTGTAAGAAATCATTATTTTGATAATACATGTGTGCACACTTACGATTATATTGCAATATTATGACCATATTTATACAGTATATAATAACAAAAAGTATTATGTATAATACTTTGAATAATTTTTGCTTAATATTATTTATATTCAAATTTACTATACGAATATTAATGATAATATCAAGATTTTAATTTGACATATCAAAGATATTATTGAAAAATATTAAAAATTATAAAAAGCATGATATATTTCAGCAATATTTGGTTAATAAAAATTTAGATATATATATTTATCTCGTCATGGTTATGTAAATTTATTACATAATTTTTAGATGACATAAATGCTAGATTAAATAAAAAATGTGATCACGTATTAGCAAAACAACCGAACACCTTACTAACTTGAAATACAACTACGATGTCTTTCATCTTATTTGCATGTCTCAAGGTAAAACACTGAATAAAATTTGATGAATAAACTGTGATAATGAATGATGAAAAAATAAAAAAATTATTTAATGCTTAGATTGGAAGATACATTTCCAGATCAAAACTGTCTAAATTAATTTAATTTAAAAAATAGAACTTTTATTTATGGTTATATATAGTTATATGGAAAATTCGACAAAATTTTACATATTAATGCATAGATTAGAATAAGCAGTATTTCTAAAGTCAAAACTGTCTAAATTCATTTAATTTAAAAAATAGAACTTTTAGTTATATGGAAAATTCACGAAAAACTGTAACATATTAACATTTAATTACTTACTAGTTACTTTAATTTTTTAATATCAAAAATAAAACAATTTTAAGATCTATAACAGCAAGGCATTTTGTAAAATTTAATATGATTCATTGATATGTGATATTGATTTATAAAAATTAATACACTTTTTTTAGTCTTTCCGTGAAAGATTTATATTATCAAAAGAATTCCTTTTTATTATTCTTCTTTTTTATTTTATATTATTTGTATATATTATCAAATATCCTCTTAGAAATATATTTATAGACAATGATGGTTATATATCCTTTATCTTTTTGGCTAACTGAAGAAAAAATATAACGATAAGTGATAATGATAAGCCAAAATGACCAATGACACTAGTATAACGTTCGTTTTTTTCATTATTTCCATTTTCAATGAATCATGTTGAAAGGAATAAGTTCAATGCAAAAAGCATCAGCATAGTTACTTCATTAATAATAAATATAATTTGCTAGTGATGAGATAACAAGAAAATTTGCAACATCAACATTTCCTTCACTTTCCGAATATCATATCGAATTTAAAATGATCTCGATGTACATATAGATAATGAAGTTGAACAAGTCATAAGTTCGCTTGCTAATAAATGAAAAAGATCATAATGTCAACATCGTCGTTGTGTCCAAAGTATCACTTACGTCAAAGATGAAGCTTGAAAACGCGCGGAGAAACACGATTACAATTTCGCGAGATACGATAAATGCGATTTGAAACGTGCAGTGAACGAAAGAAATCGCAATGCAATCGACATGATTGCAGACGGAATGAAATGCCGGCACTGAAAGGCACAACCGGACCACGAGGCGGTGACTATCTTTATGACCCCACCATTGCGCCGGTTTTCGATCGTTCTTAATACAGTGTGAGACGATAATACTGTACTTATGAATAAACTTATGAATAAATCATATGATACAAAAAACAAAATGATAAAAAACTTTTTAACAGTCAGTTATCGATAACCAAATCGACTTATTTAAAGTGATACAATTTATTCAAAATTCATTCAAACCGTTTGCATATAAAAAAATATGAGCCAAAATATTAGCCAAAAAATAACTATACATATATATTTATATTTAAAAATTAAATTTTTCTAGTTTTTAAATATTTATTAAACAATAAAATAAGTTTATGTTAGTTATTTTGTAATAAAGGTATCATAAATACAATTGCGATTAATTTTTCAAATGATTTCTATATATGCTAAATTAGAAGAAATAATGAAATAAGTAATGTCATTAATAGTAATTACTAAAAACAAGATTATTTAGTCCAATCTACTGAAATAAATATTAATGGAGTTTGTAAAAGATATAACTACTAAAGATATACTACAAAATAATTAGTATTTATTTTCAAATGACTTTAAGAATAAGTATAAAATTGAAATGATATATATGGTAAATCAGGAATCCGTTAAACAATTAATTGAACATAGCAATAGATAAAAAAGTAACTTAAAAAATTATATTTTGACTCGCAAGAACATAAAATATTTAATTAGAGAATATTATTCATTAATATTATGAAATATTAAGTTCTTTTAACGCAAATTGTTAAAATTCATCATTATTTTTCTTACGTGCAGCGTGTACATGCAGTTGTCAATACAAAGCGTATTACACATATACTCATATAAATTATTTCTTGGGACACATTCTTAAGTTTATTCTGCGGTGAAACTTAGAGGCCGCGTTTCTTGATCGATCGATAATTTGTGTCATATTATAATTAAACAAATGATGATTTTAATGCAATTTTATAGAATTCTTAATACATGTTTGAGCCTAAAAGTTTCAAGGATCTTTTAATATATATTTTTTTTATGATGTAAAACAGTGAATTAGTAAAATATTAATATAATTTTATATAATTTTAAACTCCAAAGTCAAATAGTTTCGAAGATTGGTTCTCTAAACAAAAAATTTGCCGACTATAATATTAAGCTTAATTATTTCATGATTGACCTTATCAAGTTTATAATCGAGGCAAGAGCAATTTGATCGATGGAATTATATTCGAAGTCGGTATAAAAGTATACGCATCGCAATAGCCATGTAGCACATTTATTATATAATTTTTAAGAAGTGAAACGTTATACTTCCTCATATAAGTATTATTCTCAAAAATGAGTTCTTATATTAATTTAAGGTATTATGTCACAAAAATTTAATTTTTATAGAAAACAATAACAAAGTATTAAAAAATAAATAATAAATATAAAGTTCGAGATATATTTATTGAAAAAAAGAATCAATTATGTGTGCATACGAGGAAAACAGTATAGTGAATTCACAGAATATCTTACATGATATTATGCAACAGATATGCAATTGATATTTAATTTTGCTTAACAAACGTTCTAATTGCATAACATGCTTCACATTGTGAAGGAAATCTACAAGGATAAATCCATTTACAAGAAAATCTTATGAAGCTTCTATTCTATTTTTTTAATTAAATATAAATAAAAGACATAGATATTTCATGTATTTTAGCAATATATATATATATAATTTCATTGTAGTGAGATAATTATTAATATATGATAAATGATAATTTTTAAAAGAGACTTTTTATAGAGAACAATTTTAATAATTTTATAAATATATTTGTGTATATATGTATGTTTAATCACATTATTTTATATTATTGTATTATATTTTTAATAGAGTTGGAATTTTTCTCGATGTTTCGGAAATTGCAATTGTTAACGAGAAAAATATAATAATACAATAATATAAAATAATAAAGTTAAAGAAAACGTATAAAGTTACTTCTCTTTCTCACCATTAAAAAATCTCTTAAAAATTAAAATATAAATGTTATTGTGATAATAATTCACATTTAATAATCAACTTATATTGATTTTTTAGTACTCAATTTGGAACACATTGTTTTGAATAATTCTTTCGACAATGAATGTGAAGTGAAAGAAACGATGTTATATTTTTCATATGATAATTGTTAAAGAGAAACTCTATAATTCTTTTCATATGCTAAAAATATCACCATAATCTGTTTCCAAAATGAGGAGACCAAACAAGTTCTTAATTTTTTTACATATAAAGAAAAAGAGAGAGTGAGCAACAATAGAAAGTCCTAACTCCATAGAAAATTATTCTCAAGTATTGTCGAAGGAAAAACTTAGCTTAGCGGCGCTAAATGATAGAGATACGTCAAGGCTTCAATGAATAGATAATGGTCTTGAAATATCATAAATGTTCCATATCGACATTCTACATACGACGTTCTTCGGGTAATACGACGTTCGTAGAAAAATCGCGAAAATGATAAGTTGATATCGATGCTCCGAAAGATATGTCATTGACAAACCCATAGCCCCACTGCTTGTTTTGAGGTTAAGTCAGGTTAAGTAATGTTGATCTCTTTAATTTCTATAAAACACCACGTGGCCAGTAATCAGCTGTTTTCGAGAGCAGCGAGATCGCGTAAATCGAAGGACAACCGATCGAAATCTCACCTTCGTGCCGTTCCTGCGTCCAGAGAATACCTCGTGAAGCGTGAACGTTCTCTTGCGCGGCATTTTTATCCACGCGACGTGGCACACGTGATAATTATTTGGCGCCGCGGTACTAGGCTTATTCACCACGTCGTTGTCGAGCTGGAGAAGACGCGTTACGACGCACGATAAAATTAAGAGAATGCGGCAGTTGACGGCACGCCAGCTGCACGATCGCCGGCGCGATGTAACCGTTTGTTACGTCGGCCCCTTTGATGACGCCATTGTTCACGTGATCCAAATACAAGCGATACACCGCGATCGATTAAGAATTACTGCGCCGACGCGCAGTGCTGTAACATGCGATGAATGAGTTGGACGTGTGATTCATTAGCGAGATATCAATGATCCATTTAAGTGCTCTTAAAGATTAATTCTTTAATAATGATATTCCTCCTTTCTCTCTCTCTCTCTTTTTTCTTTTTGTTTTAAAAAATAACTTTTTAAACATTCGTGTATATTGTAACGTTAAATGTATTTTATGAGATATTATCTTTATGGGATTTAATTTTGATGAAATAATTTTGAAAATTAAATGTTTGCTTTTAATCACAAATGAATAATAATGTGTGTGTGTGTTGCTAAATATATATTTTTAAAAATACGATATCTAATAAAAAAAATTTTAAATATATTTTGAGGATGTATATATATATATATATATATATATATATATATAAAATAAAATAAAATAAATATTTTCAAATGAATATTTTTTTTAATTTCAAAGAATCTGACTAAAAAATTAAATTTAAAGCAAAATATTTTATAATAAAATATTTAAATACTTTTAAATCGTATGTAAAAAATTTAAATGTATTGAGCTAAGCTATGTGTTCTTGTAAATATTGATTAAAATAATTAAATTTTAGCTTATTTTCATATGTGATTATTTACATTTGCATTACATATTTATTATAAATTTCTAGATTATAATGTAAATAATGTATTAATGACTGTATAATTTTCTCTATTCTGATTATGTGATTTTTTATGTCAAAGTCGATCCAGCGGAAAATCTTGACCTTGTTTTCATTATATCTTTCAACATGCAATTAAATATCTTATGCAATTAGAACGAGGACTTTTAAAGACTGTTTATAATAAATTACAATCACGCGCGCACGAGACATCAAATAAGCATATCAAATAAATCATGTAAAATTTTAAATTATATTATTTCGGATATTTTATTGATTCGGAATTGCAAATTGAAAAATATAAAATAGAATATAGAAAGAGAAAAAGAACATTATTAAAATATAGACTTATCATCTATATCTTTAATTCATAATTTTTTAAATAAGTAGTTTAACATAAACATATCATTGTAAGTTTTTTTACTATGAAAGTTATAAATGAAAACTTTTTTTTGCTTTTGTGTCCTCTAAATTATCATTATGTACTTCCTTTACGTTGAATTTATTTAAATCGACATCGACTTTTCTTTCGTCGCATATTGTAAATACAACTTCGGGCGAATAACTGATTTTTGGCGACGTAAGAAAATTTATGTAAATGTTGTCGAACTCATTAATTAATGCTATCATTCAAAACATGAGCCAAGGAAATTCCTCAATTCAGTCGAGAAAGAAATTTCCAAGAAATTCCTTATTTTTGTCACATGACAGCAATTGCAAGTAGGTTATATTAGGATATGTCACATTTTTTTACAACAATGAAAAATGTGTATTTTATTAGTAATTATCAGCATATTGCTCGTAAAAGTAAAATAATGTAGCATTTTACTAGATTGAAAGTATTACCTTCGTCATCATGCCTACCAAACACTACAACGGGAAATTCTCTAATTCTGAGGACAGGTCCATCGGATGACAACAAAATCGTTCTCGATTATAGCAAATCTTCAAATCGAATCAATAAAACGGTAACTGTGCAATATATTTGTTGTATATAGAATACTAAAGAGTATGCCAAATTTTATTTACATGTTCGCTGTCAGGTTTCCAATGCGAATTTTTCTGCGAGAAAATTGTGGAATAATACTTCCAAGATGACTAGGAACTCCATTCCTGTAAATAGCATAATCGAAGAAGGTTTAAAAAAATTTTGTAATAATACATGCACAGTTGAGAAGAGTTAATGTTTAATAACGAATATATATAATAGAAATTTGTTAATATAAAACAAAATTTTATATTATGTATGATATTAGAGAAAACGTAATTTCCATATTTTTTGAAATTATATCATAGCTATCGCATTAATTTCAGAAAGTGAGCTCATTAGTATGTTAACGAAACAATTGCATCTGGCCGAATCACAGATGCGAAAGATGCAAACCGTTTTGACAAAAGCCGAAGAGGGATTGCGAACTAAAGATCAAGAAATCGGTCGCTTAAAACGGAAGGTTCTCTGTACGCTTCTCTTAATTTAGGAATGTAACATTCAAAAATTTATAGCAAACTTTTAGTAGAAAGCTAATCTTTATTAGATTTAATTACATTCGCGTATCTTTTTTATATATTATTAAATTTTCTTGAAAAGTAATATTTAATATATTTCCTTTCTCATGTATTCTTTTCTTCTTTTTCTAATTATTTTGTAATTATATAATCATTCTATAATTTTTCTTATTACGGAAAAAATTCTTTAATATAATCTCTTTAATGTTTTTTAATTTTTCTCTTTTTTTGAATGATATATGATAGATCAAAAATTGGGAAGCTAAATACAAAAATCAGGAACTCGTGCGGAAAAAAGAACAACGAACTCAGGCTAATAATTCCGAATATTTTTATCAACGATGTCTGACATTAGAACACAAGATCATCGAAATGGAGGTTTAAATTTTCATTTTAAATAGATTTGAGAGCAATAATTAACAATTACAATATTGTAGAAGTTTTTGTCTGATTATGGATTGACGTGGGTGGGTGATACGAACAACTCGATGAATATAGACGGCGATAGCAAGTAACTGGAATAAACATTATTAGTTTGAAGTGGAAATAATCGATTATAACAATAATTAGTAATTCCGTTGTAGTAATTATCTCGACGCCTGTTATGATCAGTTAGTTGCTAATATCGATCAATTAAACCTAGCCGCGGGAAAGGGCGAAGTTCACATTCATCATAACGAAAAAGGAGGAGGAGCGACTTTTAAAGTATAGCTCTAATTTGTAAGGCGTGCTTTCACATCGCGTACATTACAGAAATAATGCGAAGTATCACGCGCTTAATTACATGTGATACATTTTCAATAAGATATACTTTAAATATCGAATAAATTAATTTACTAATTGTTGACTAGTTTTTGGAATTAATATATTTATCCCTATTTTGATAATTATCAATGATCAGTATTTTCCTTATGCATTTTGTGATTAAAGACTCTTTCCTGCATAACGTTAAAATTTTATAAAAATGGTATGGTCGTCAAAGAAGAACCATTACGATCTTATGATGATCCGACTGCAGGCTCATTCATTCGCGATATTCTGGATGGATATTTTCCATCTGAATTGCAACAAGAATATCCTGATGGAGTACCTTTCATAGTAAATTATTAGTTAAATATGATTAGTCCTTCGTACTTTTTTTTACTACAGATTCTTTGATATAATATGAAATTGATTAGTTAAGAAAAATTTAATTGGCTGTCATCGTTTTTACTTTCTCTTATAGATAGAAGATCGCAGAACGGAATTATATGTAGGCGACACCGCTAGTTTTCCTGGTCAAGGATATCGGTTGGGAAAGCAATCTGCAGTAGATAGCTTGTTATCGACTACCTCACGCAGATCAAATACCATTTTTCAAAGATCTGGTCATATCAACTCTTTATCAAAAGATAACGCTTCCGAGAATATTCCATTTTTATCTCTTCCAACAAACCGGTATTATGTAACAGCCAGAACAAATATTTAAAAATTTGCCATATCTAACACATATCTTCAAATGCCAAAAATAATTTATTTGTTATTTATGATAGTTATATGTAAGAAAATATTTTTTAAATTGTTACTCAAGCTATAATGCATTTTTACACTTTACTAGTTTATTGAAACCCAAAATCTCTTTGGAAACACCTTCTGCCGATCTATTTTCTCTGAGGTCGCAAATTTTGGCTTCACATAACAATGTTTGTTCGAGTTCTCATCTTCAATCTCATATTAATGCTGAATTAGCACGAAGTAGTCGACGAGAAAAAGTAAAGCTATTAATAAACTGCTTATATTTGTTAAAATTCTTACAAAATTCCAATACAAATTACAAATATTATTATTTCAAAAAAAGAGAGAATTGGCTACGAAAAATATGGAATATGATATGTCGGCAAATGAACAATCATTCTTGTCGAGAAATGCTTTGAGAATTCAAAGTAACAAGACGAGATATCACAGTTCTTCCGACAGATCTTCATCTAGGTTTTCTTTTAGATTAGATAAATAAAAATAAAATTAGCATTTATTTTATTTTGACTAATTTGACATCAACTTATTTATATTTTCGATTAATTTATTTTTTAATTATACTTTATTAGTCGGCCGGGGACTGCTGGAAATTGTCTTCGGCCGCGTTCAAAATCTGCTAGTTTATCTGGAGGACGATTAAATATCGGTATGCAATCGATATTACGATCAAAGGCGTCGAGCACAGCAGAAATTAATGATATCGGCAAACCCAAAATCGCCAATCTCGTCCCTGGTTGTTTTACGACAAAACATCCGCGCATGTCAAAATCAGCCACTTATGCAAGAAAGAGTACGGTGAGAAATTTATCTGACCAACAGCAAAATATGAAAGAAATTATATTTTATCAAAAGTAAAAGCATTTGAATACAATTTATTTGACAATTCAAATATTATTACTTTAGCCTCCATTATTGCATCAGATTAATGAAGCAACTGGAAAAACTGGCGAATTGCGATTGAAAATTAGATCATTAACTGGTAGTACTGTATATTTAGTACATGTGTTTGCTGACAATTCGGTAGCAAAATTATACGAATTACTTGATAAAGCTATGCAAACATCCGGACACAGAGGATATAAAGTAGTGTTGAGCGGGTAAAAAGATATCTGATTTTTTTATTGATTTACAATTTTTTATTGATATTAACGATATCATTTATATATGATATAATTTATTGTGGAGTGCGTCCTATCTATTTGCATTTTTAACTTTTCAATTAATATAATTGCTTAAAGATATTCATCGAAAAGATTGGAACGTACAAATGCAACTTTAAAGGAAAACGGTATCAGCAAAGATTGTGTCCTTCATCTTGTGAATGATTGAATGTTTATCAATTCGTTAAAATAGAATTTTTCATACGTAATGTTTGTTAAAACAAATATATAAGTAAACTGTAACACTGTAAATTTAAAGTCTTTGATATATAAATTTGCAAATATAGTAAATATATAATTTATTGCATTTTTTAAATATTTTAAAAATATTTTTCTAGATTTTCTAATATATATACATATATATATATATATATATATATATATGTATATATATATGTATATGTATATGTATATATATTATTGATCAAAGCTTCAAGCACAAATTCGACGATATAAAAAAACACATTAATTATATAACATATTGATTTTATTATACTAAAAACCTAAGAATATATAGAATATTCACATAAATAAGATATTCAAGTAAGCCTCGATGTGTGAAGCAAGATACTAAAATGTTAATGATTGATTTTATGATGTTAAGTTTATCAGATTGCATCCAAATGTCTCTGAATTAGCTATACATATACGATTTTGCAACAAACGTAAGGTTTTTGTAAAAAATAAACGATATCCTCTTAGGATGATATTCTTTCGTAAAATACTAATTATTTTATTTTTGCTGCTTACTATCATTTGGTTATCGCATGAAATTGTTTATCATTAGATGTTCATGAGCAATCATATATATTTTTCAATAGAAATTTCGGCATTATATTGAAATTTTTATGTTTCGTTACCTACAGATTTTTTAATAAACATTTTGGTTTGATTGTTGAACATCCTATATTCATATAATAAAAAGCAAAATATCTAATTTTTTTATTATCGAAAAAAATAATAAAGATATTTAACAAAAATAACGTAATTTTTCATAATTTTTTCATTTTTAAAACTTGAGCGCATAATTTGTTATGGAAATTACTAAATAATTCTTTGAAAATCGAAATCATCCGTTAATTAATTCTCAATATTTATTAAAAATATCAATATTTATTAAAATTTTTGAAAACGTATGAAGAACATTATAAACATAAAAAATAAGCAAAAAAAATATAAAATGTTTTTAATTTAAACAAAAAATTTTAATTTCTAAACTGTACGATAATAAACGAATAACTATAATGTGAGCAGAGTATTTGAAAGTAATTTAATTTATTATTTAATTTCGAAATAAATAATTATTATATATTTGTAATACACAATAATTATGTAATATTATAAAATGATAACTATTAATTATAAAAAAAAAATATATATATATATATTTTATAATTAATAGTTATATATATAATGGACATAAATGGCAGAATAATATCACCATTATAATTAAGCTTAGAGATCATTGCTTTAGAAAGGTTCTAATTAGAGGATGGATTGATTTATAATTCAATTACTAATTATATACTGGTATACATATACTTGAAAATAACATTTAAGTATATTTTTTTTATATAAATGACTTCTAACGTATATTATTTAAAATTTTTTTATTGAACTATTTTGTATGAAATATTAATAAATTAATGTTTTTATTTTGTAATAAATCAATTTTTAACTTGTTAATATCAAATAAGAGCATATATAAATTAATATCGTTCAATCGTGATCTTAAAATTGATGTTCTCGAGATTATGATGTTGCAGATTAGAAAAGTGTATTGCAAATATTAATAATATAAAGCAAATATTAAAGATATTTTATCAATTGCGCTGATTGTAAATTCTATGAAGAAGTGACTATCTTACACATAAAAAATATAAAATTAATAGTAATATAATATTCTGACATTTAATAGCAATGATATTATTATATACTAGAATATAAAATTACTATATATTGCAAAATAATATCCGACATATAAAAAGAATGTACGTTGTAAAACTAAAAAAAGTATTATTTATATAATTACAAAATATCAATGTAGATATTGAAGAATGTTAATGTTTTAGAGTATAACAATGAATAAGCAACTTAAAATACAACCATTTATTTTTTTAATGGAAATTTATTTGATTATTGCGTTTCATTAAATATTAATATTGAGTCATTTTTAATAAAATATTATTATATTGAATGCAATATATTATTCGTATCATATTTTATATTTTAGCAATGAATTTATTTATATATTTAAATTTATATTATATTTCTTTCTTTTAATTCATTGTATTTCTCTCTTTTAATTCATTTTGTAATATTAATAACTTATTATTGCAAAATTAGTTTTGTTTCTATTATTATATTTTGTTGTTATTATAATAAATATTAATATTATAAATATAATGTTAATTATAAGATTGTAATAATTATAATTATATAATTTTACAATTAAAATAATTATAAAAGGACAATCGTAATGGAGACAATTTATACCATATAAATCTTTTAAGAAATAATATTTTACATACCAGATTCTGTATTTTGTTATATTTTTATTGTATATTGATGAAGAAGAGAAATTTAATTAAGATAATCTATGAAAATATTGCATATATATATATATATATATATATATATATATATATATTCTTCTATATCTATATATATAATATATTCTTTCATAACTACACGATGTCAAGTCGAATCAGATTACGATTATCGGATTTATATCAAAGCACACTATTTAGATTCATATGTATTGACAAATGCATAGAATATACGATGGATTAAATAATAATTCGATAATAAGCATATATTTGCGTGAATATTGATATTAGAAAATTTACTAAATTTTCTAATTATTATTTAATTTATTAATTATTATCGCAATGAACTACGTCACGAGCTCGAGCTTTGTCAATCAACAGGATAGGACTCGCGCAGATTTATCTATAGGCCTCTGCCGACAGATCTGTCAACGGAAGCTTTTCGATCAGATATCCGGGACGGAACGGTTAATAAGAGGTCCTGTTTGTCAATCGATATCCAAACTAGTCGACACTCCGCCGGGAAATTCCTGGCGTAGTGCTCGTAAATTTTGCGAGTACTGAGCGAGCCAGACTTCGCTTAACGGCTCGATTATTGAAAATAAAGAAACGCAATCAACTTGATTGAGCGTTCGTATCGTCGTAAAATATAAAATAAGAGCGAAAAACTGAAAAAAGCTCCTATTAAGAGATTTGCATAATTTTTTGTTAATTAAAATTTAAATAAAAATTTCCAGATTATGCAATAGTAACGAATAAACACGCAATACGTATTTCAGTCTATTAGTTCTTGATAAAATTATAATGATATGAACAGCAATTTGATGACAAACGATTTGATCAATGAAATACGATAAGTGTATTTTATGCAATGTAAGTATTACTGTAATGATGCAAAAACTTACGTAAAAGACTTCCATTTACATTTTATCTACATCACTATTAACAGTTGATACACTATCATTAAATCTATCGATGCAATTATTTCAAATTATCTGGGCAAATCGAAACGACATATAGATATTACGCAATTTATATTAGCATATTTAATGACTTATATAACGAATATTTAATGACTTATACAACGAATTATTTTACATTTTACATTTTTATATTCAATTCAATGTTAATAATTGATATATTATTAAATTTATTTGTGTAATTATTTTAGAAAGTTTATTTTCTATATATATATATATATATATATATATATATATATATATATAATAAATTTAAATATTTATACTAAAATAATTTTAAAAAATTAATTACGAATATTATGTTGCGAATCTTTTTTATGTTGTCGATTTCTTATATTATCGGTTGTTTGATAAAATATCATATAAACTCAATTGAATAAACTGATTAGGTTTCTACTTTTCACATTGTTTTAAAATCAAAAGGAAGCTTTTTGATAGGTATAATATAATTTTGTCCAATATTTTCACTGAATGAAAGTAATATCATCGATTTTATACGTGAAATAGGATTCATATAAATATATCGGAGCATTTTTTTTTTTTTCCAAAGACATGATGCGAGATAAATCAAATTTAATTGTAAAAAATAACGAATATATTTTGTTTGAAAATACCAAGATATAAAAGATTAAATTTGCGGAAAAATTTCTTGTTCATCGATTTCTCTTTTATGCGCGATTTTATGCTGTAATATCGTTATTTTTATAATTAATTATGTAAAGTCACTCAAGATATTAGAAATAATTCTCTGTCATGGATAGATTATTTTTAAGCAAACTCCAATTAATAATTTTATTGAGATTCCATGAATTAGAAAAAGATGGAATAAATGAAATATGTTTTTATTTCAATATTTTATGTTCTCCAAAAAAATGAAATTATATCACATATATGTAATTATTGATTGCATATTTAAATTATAAGATCATAAGAAATGAGCTATTTATTAGATAAATAGTTGTTGACACACACACACATTTTTTTTAATATTTAGCCAAACAACTTTCCTGTTTTTGCTGTGTTAATAATTTATGTTTCACTTCAATTACTATTGTTACTAATATGAATGAATCAGCTGCGATAAATTCTGCTTGTCTGCTTGTCTGCTTTGCAACATACAATTTATTAATTGACTAAACGGTGACAAGGAGCATAATTGTGATCGAGAAATAAAGAAAAGTAAGAATTCTTTTTTTTTCTTTCTCTATCTTTATTGGCGACATTTGCTTCAAAGTATTGAATCAATGGATTCTCTTCTTTGGTCTCAATGCTTCGGAAGACAAAAAAAAATAAAAGGAAAAAAGAGAGAGACGATGAGACAAGAAAATCGTTTGTTCCAGGGCCTCATTAAGCAGTATTGAAAATTTTTTGTCGTTTACGAATCTCTGCGTCGTTTAATATATTTATCTGACATTTTGCAAGTAATTTTAGTGCATATAAAAAATTTGAAAATGCAAATGCGACATCGTTGTAATTAGTGTTTCACAATAAAATACAAATTTAAAAAAATGTTTTTATTTAAAAAACTAGAAAAAGAAGATATGATAAAATGAAAAAATTAGAAAAAAAAAATATGATAAATCTATTTTAATTATTGATCTCTTTTATTTATCTCTCTCTCTCTCTTTCTTGTTTTGCGTCTTTCTTTTTTCTCGCGCATTTTTAGAAATATATGCTATAAAAAATATTTCAAGAGATAGACTATAAAATCATGTTAATGTTATAATAAATTATTTCTGACAGTTTCGTTTGACGATATTATGTTTCAGGTACTTTTCCCTCATTTTTTTTCTGGTCTGAAATGTCAGGGAATGACTTGGATTTTAGTGTACTCTCTTTGAAGCGATACAATTAAACGAATGCAATTTTCAATATAACGTGGCTGTGTTTACTTCGATAATGATTTAATTTTTTTTTAACAATTTGAACATTTCTTTTTCGATGATACGAAAAAGAGTGTAATTAACAGTATGACATATTCCAACAATATTTAATATTTATAACTGTATTTTGATATATTTACGGTTATCATTATCTCAGCCGCTATTTATAATTACGGAACATGTTCTTTACAATAAAAAATAAGATAATTTTATGACTTTCAAATAACTGCGGAGTAGAAAATTGATCATCAAACTGTTATAAATAATTTTTTTTTCGTTGCACATAGACTAAAAGATATAAGGATTAAAACATCAATGATTATCATTAATAGATATAATAAATAATAAATATTAATTGTTCTTTACTTGATTAATTTGATAACGATTTATTAAAAACAAACATGTATAACGTTTATATTATAAAATTGAGGAATTAATTGAAATCGAAAACGAAAACGTTCGAAAGATACATAAAACTGTTAACGTATTAACTTATATCAAGTTAAGCATTAGAACTTATTTATCACATTGTTTCTACTTGAGCTGTTTTTTTCATTGAACGTAGACTAAGTCTTTGACCCGATTAGAGAATGAGAGTTGCGGAATATTCAATCATACATATTTCGCCGACTGCTTTATCTGCTTTGTTCTACGGATATCGGATTATATACGAATGTAGATTTGTGATGAAACAATTTCCTCGAAATCCGTCGAACATTACTATCTATAGAGAGATTGTTGAAATCGATTCTATGCGGCATCGAGAGATATCTTCTCAGCAGATTTGTCGGAAATGCGGATATGTACAATGAGATTGGCGTAAGCATTGCAACCGTCAATGGTCGTGACTGGTCGAAGATAGGGATATTCAAACGTTTTACTGAAGAGTTAGTTACGATTGATGGAATATTGTATTGACTTGTCATGTTGTCCACAAAATGTTACGCTGATAGAATTACTTGCGACGGAGAAATGCAATTGCAGAATTATGCATGCGATCGACAAAAATGTTCGTTGAATATTCTTTCACGAGACGAGAAACTGATTGCTTCACCTCGTTGTTAAAAGAGTTAAGTTAAAAGAGCTAAAAGTTAGATGGCCATAATGTGTCCAATTGATAATAACCAGTCCAATAGATTGAATAAATTGAGAAAGGTGAAAAGAATAAAAGTATAGGTAATTTAATATATCGAAAAGAGACACAAATACAATAAGAAATAGAACATATATCGTAATTCTTTTTTTTATTCTCTAATTTCTGATTCTATTTTGAAAAATTGTAAAATTTTCTTATGAAAGTATTTATATACTTACAAATTTATTTCTTTTTCTTTAAAAAAAAATATTGCTATTATATTGCTTTTTGATATTCATTTTATGATTACTTAACTATAAATGTTTTTAAAAATAATTTCTTTTTTTCTGACAAGTAAGTCATATAATAGTTTTCAACTATTATATGTAATAATAACATTGTGAAAAATATATTAATTTTATGTAGGTTATTAAAATTTTTATGAGCGTCGAAAATGTTTATTTTTTGCATTATTAAATATTGTACAACCGATGTTTAAACCTTTTATTTCGATGTAAAAAATGTATCCAGACATCTGTTGTTCTCGTTGCTAATAGATATTCTTTTTAGTTTATGTTTCATTATTAATGCACCAATGAACCAATCGTTGTTAGCTCCTACTTTGAGTTTTACATTATTCATCTTCTTCGACAAAGAAGAAAAATAAAGCTTTATTTTGCCGTAAAAACACTGTAATGTATCACAATAATAGTCGCTTTTAGAAATATCAAAAGAACTCTCACAAAGAAGTGTACAGAAATATTTTTTATGCAAATGAAAGTAATGCGTCACTATATTGCAGTTATCGATATCGAATTTTCAAATGAGAATTTTTTCGTTCGCGTAAACTTATACATGGAATCATTACACTCGCTGATAAATTAATTTCCGCTTTTTAACTTTTTAACTGTTTCATGTAACGCTGTTATGTATAAATGTGTTGAAAATCGCGAATTGTTTGTCGGATGTGGCAGTATGGATTGCTCGTTCTTTCGAACACATTTTATTTCTTCATCTTTCTTTCTTTCCTTTTCTTGTAACAAAATTTTTTTCTTAAGTACTCGCATGCATACACTTATACATTCACTCCCACTGTCCAACGGCTAGTGTAACGTATTAATAAATTCATTGCACACGACGTAATTTTCTCAACAAACAGCGATATAATATATTCACAATATATGAAACGTCGCGTATAGCTAAAAACAGTTAATCGGCTTATCTATTTTTTCTATCTTTTCGTGAAAAATGCTCGCTGTACATACGTCAGTGATAATAAACTATTCGATTGTGTCAAAATATGACTAGGTCTTTCGCGCGCTCCTCGGATTTTCTCACCTACCACAAGCGCACGTAATATGCTCGTATTTATGTACACACATGTCGACGTATACATACATATACATATTTATACATATACATTACGTTATAAGTGCATTTATAAATCACACACATATATACTATATTTATACAAAAGATTTATAAATCACTTTTCAACAATTAGTATGTATCATTTTGCTTATACATAATACAATGAGATTTCATCAAGTGATCGTATTCTTTTTTTTTCATCATTTCAGGCATCTTACGACTCTCTCAATTTTAGATTGTGATTAATTTTTTAAATGTAAATTATATAATTGTGCCAATGTATGTGTATGTGTGTGTGTCCCTTTTAGGAATAACTAATTTTTTACTAAATCGTTTATTTATACATACGTTGTTTGCGCAAACGTAGTGTGGTGTTAACATGGCAAAAGAGATTACTTATAATATATACAAAACGCATATCATTATTATAGGATAGGATTTGTTGTAACTTTTTTGTGACTCGAACTTTGAGTTGTTTGTTTCTCTAATTAAATGATTCGAGGGGGTTTCCAATAAGAGATTGTTAGAAACGCAGCGAATTTAAAAAAAAAAATTATATTTTGATTTTACTTTTCGCTAATGATGCTTTATGTAATGTTTCATAATAAAGTGAATTAATTCAGAAAAATTAAGAAATTTTGACATAAATATGAATTTTCATAATAAGAAGCATCAATTATATCAACTTGTTATAATTTAATTTTTATATTTATCGATCTTTGCTCAAAATTATTGGACATTTATTTGCTTTGACGTTTGTTTAGGCTAAATTCGGCAGTGATTACTAATTTGAATTTGGTCCGAGTCATATGATACAGTCCTCAATGTTTTATTGCACTATTTTTCATCGCATGTGACATTTTTACTTAGCTGTTTAATAATTGATTATTCATGTTGGTTCCTTTCGCTTCGCATCTCTTTGATCGAGATCGAGGAAGAATCGTGAAAGGGAAAGTTCACGCGCGAGTATTATGTTGCAAAAAATTACAGTCCGAAATTATTGTCATTGGAAATTGTATTCCAATAGACGTTGGCATCGCTTTATCGTGCGACCTGTGTCCGCGAGTTTACAATCTATTTGACACTCGCCTTCACAGAAATCGCAAAATCGGATGATTGTAAAGTAATTGCATATTACTGTCAAACAGTTAAGAGGCAATCGCGGATATTTTCTTAGCTATTTTATAATGGATGGTTTTTCGGCGGTTTCCGCGAAAAATTTCTAGTCTACAAATTGCAATATAACCTTGAAATACAATTCTGTACGCGAAAACCAGCCTTTAAACGAACTTTATCAGCTTTCTACATTCGCTTCGATATGTGTAATTTGAAATTCGGCTCTTGAAACCTACTCGCGTTCCGTCGACACGCATGCCGCGGCATCGCGGTCAGTTCCGATCAATCTGGTTGGACACACTTCGGACAAATGTTCGACTCTTTTCACTCGATATTCTACCATTGCCTCGGAAAATTTCGAAACACGAGCAATTCCTGGTCAACTGGCATTGCGCGTGGCATTTCATTTTCTATGCAGTCCCTATTATTCCTATTATCACGATTGATCTATGACACTCATGCACTGGCACTTTTCGATTTGATCCCGGCTCGATTTGTTGGTCAGACGTATGTTTCCATCAGCTATATACATATCGAGGGTCCCTGGTATGTTGAAATAACGTTGTTTTCATAGATCGACTTTGATCCTAATAGTTTCAGAAACCATTCGTTTACTGAGATCAGCCCCTATTATAACGAACCAAGATAGTTATATAGCTTCCATTATCTTGATTAAATCATACGTTTTTATATCGCCGGTGCGATTTCGCTGATTCTTCGAATATCGAGATAGTCGTATCATACATATTTGTTTACTGTCGGAACAATAGCGAATACTACACGATACCACGTCCAAGAATGTATTTCATTTAAAACAAAAAAAAATAATTCTCTTGTCCGATTGATCGATCATTTAGCATCAGTTTCTCGTCATCACGCTTTCAATCAATGATGATCCGACCTCGTCGTCGGCGCGGGATGGCCCTCGTTGCGGTTTACCGATCTGCGCCGGCGACTATATATGCTATAAGCACGTCTCCTTTTGATCGATTACGTTGATGACCACCGAAGCCTGCGTAGATAGTTCCTTTTGAGCAGGCACACCTGTCGGCACCTCTTCCAGTATTGGTCAAAGAGTCGTGGTCCTCGAGACCGTCGCCGAGGGCGGCGGTGGTGGTGGGGGCGGTGGGGAAATGACTACGTCCGGTTCACCCGCTAGGTCGCAATCGAATCTCCAGAGAATATTCTCAGGATGGTCACCTCCTAATGTATAATAATAATTAATAATTTATTTTTATTGAAGTCACATTGATATAAGTACATAAAGATATAAGTATAATATAATATAATATAAAAATATAAATAAATATCTTTAACTTTCCATCACGATATTTTTATATAATCCATAAAACTTTAAATTTAGATAAACATATTTTTTTTAATTAAAATTTAATCGAACATGCTGTGAGCAGGAAATATTTTTTAATACATCGTGGATATAAATATAATTAATACTATATTTATATAAGTAATTAATATATGCATTAAATATTTACAGCAGTATAATAAGTATGGCAATAGAAAATAATAAATATGGAAATAGAAAATAAATTTTTAGAAGATTAAAAAAAGGAAGAAAAAAAGTTAAAAAAAGTTAAAAATAATTTTCTGACATTTTAATATACATCGAAAGAAAGAAAAATATTGTTTCTACGTAAACTCTATAATTTTTTTATACTCGACATTTTTTTTTCTTTCTGACTATATCCTGCTACCCACGAGATTTCAAATTATCCCATGCAAATTTAACCATAACGATCGACATATCGCTCGACATAGCGAATATAATGGAATGGGATAATAGGTATTCAGTGGTTGATGGACAATCATACCTTGACCCAAGATGATGCCCGAAGAGCCCCGTCTCTGCCTCGACAGAGGTGCTTGGTGTTTGTGCGCATGGTGACTGTGTAGGTGTGAATGTGAGTGGCAGTGTGTGTGACGCGTGTGCGTAGGAGTGACTTTGCACGGCGGCAGTTGCTGTTGTTGCGACTGCTGCTGAAGTTGCTGCTGCTGCTGTTGTTGTTGTTGATGACGAAGATGAGGATGAGGCCTGTGCTAGGTGTTGCCGCCATGGGACACCTGATCGAAGCTCAATGATTTCTTCATCTCCGTCATCGACAACGCACCACCCTCCTGCTGAGAAACAAGAAAGCGCAAGTGTTAGCTGTATCGTACCGACTAAAGAATCGACAACGACACAAGTAGACACAGACAAGTTATTAAAAGTTGCACCAAGTTGTTAAAAAGTTATTAAAAAAGTAGAGAGGCAAGAGAAGAGAGAGAAGGTTATCATTAGGCTGTGCGCGATAGCGTTGATAACTACGTCTTTTAGAGTTGTCTGTTTGAAACGAGCAGCACGTGCTTTGCGAAATAATTTTTTGCCAGGAATTCTGAAATACAGTAGTGCCGCTATAGCTTTCGGATCACGTTTTTAGAATGGAACGAAGCGCGTGGGATACACGTAGATATATTGCCGGTTAAAAGACAAGTATATGAAGGCGGTTCATAAAAGCGAATAGTCTCTCTGCGAACATAGCCTACACATCGATCTTATGTTAGTAATTACGAAATAAAAGATAATAATAATAGATGAACGTACTGATGTAGCTACCTAAGCCCTAATAACTAATCCTTTAATAACATTAATGATAACAAGATCATTAAATATGAGAATTTTAATTTTTTTTAAAGAACTGTGCTGCAACTTTTAAGGGAGAATAATTAATTTAATTTAAGAAACTATGCTATAACTTTCTTACGCGCAATTTTGTGAGAATTTGAGAAACGTGAATTCTAATTAAAATTTGAAAAACAGATTTTAAAAAACATAAATAATCACAGTATAAAAAGAAAAACAAAGTATTAATAATTATGTGTCTGTGCTCATTCTCTTATATATAATTAAATTATAGAAATGCTTAGGAAGTTTAAAAAAATTATATACCTATATATAATATTATATACTTATATATATAAATTATTTTAATATCAATGTATATTATTTTTCACATTTGCAGAATTTTATATGATATATGTTAAACAATTATTATCGTTTTTATCTAAAAGAATTAAAAATCTTATTTTTAAACTTATTTATATGTGAATCAATACGAAAGTTATTACTCAAAAGATATAACTGTGATAATGTGACAAATAACGAATAAAGATTATTCAAAACTAACAGAGAGACAGAATAATGCGGTCGACGTGGTTTATTGGAATTCAGAATACACCATCTTCGCTTGAATACAATTGCATTTTCTCGACAATGCGAATGTCGCTATTCACTGTATGTGTCAGCGACAAATGGTGTGCACAAGTATGAGTTAATTACTGTCAGATAGTTAAATCATGTATGTACTACGATACAATATATTCGACTAAAGCGAACGATTTGTAGTTTCTCGATTATATACGTGAAAATATACACAGAGCATCAAATAAAATATTTGTTAAAAAAATAATTATTTTTTTACACATGTTTTGACGGGAGGGAAATAAAGACTAAGTGAATAATTGAAGAATTTGAATGGAATCGACGTTTTTGGTTGATCAATCTACATTGATCTATCATTGTAGCAATATTTTGCAAATAATACCCTGAAAGATAGCTTATATATCTCTTAAGAGAAACCAGACATTAGAATTAGAAATAACAGTTACTATAGTTTTGGACAGATCCGTCGATTGAGTTGTGTTAATTCTACTTTGGCATGGTAATTAAACTTTAAAGTGGGGAAGTCTACATGACAAGAGGAAGAGACAAGATGTCAAAGCGGAAAGAGATGAGGAGGAAGAGAGAGAAAGAGCGATACATTATTGCTCTTGTCGCGCGTAAATTTGCTTCGAAGCGTGTCAACGTCTCACGAAATTTCCGCTGCTAATAAAAGATATCGCACGTCTTAATATTTGCTATCTAAACGCCGTAATACAAGGGATGGAAAGATTAAATATTTAATCGCAGGAAAATATGCAAATTATTTTAGAACTTTTTATAACAATTGCTTTAACTCTTTTCTTTTTGCTAAAATAAAGTATTATTAATAAAAATAAAGTAAGTATAAGTAAAGGATAACAAAAGGGAACAAATATTTTTTATTAATTTTAAGAATGATACGAAATTAGGATAATTTTTTTTAATAATTTGCGAACGATGAGTTTTAAAATATAAAAATGATACATTATCCCAAAATGAAATTGTGATAAGTTTCTTCTCTCTCCTCAGTTTTTTATTTTTTATTTGTTGATTTTATATTCTGCAAAAAAGGGATAACATCTATAAACCCGAAAAAATTGTATCGCGAGATTGAAACTTTAAGATGTTTACGCTTTTAAGTATTACGACATTTATTTCCTATGTGTTTAAAATTATTCTATTTTTGAAAAAATATAATACTTACAAATTATATACTTGCAAGTTTTTATACATTTCTGATAGATTTCTATCAGAATATAATATATTCCTCTCAAGTCCTCAAGATGAGCATTATCGATTTATTTTGTTCAAAAGGGAAAAGACATCAATCAATCAAAAGATAATGTTAGACATCAATCTCATTCTTGTGTCACATATTTATATAAAGCTGAATCACTTCCCACAGAAATTCTACTAAATTACGCTCGAAGATATAATGCGCAATAGAACGCGTTATTATTATTAGAAATATATGCATGCAATTAGATATACTGCAGTGATAAGCGTGTGCAATATATTCCTGCGACGACACCGCAGGCAATTTGCTAAAGATTGCGAGAGATACGAACGTGCGATAATAAAAGAAACATGTTGTAATAATATTATATATATATATATATATATATATATATATATATATATATTAAATATTTCATAATGCACACGCGTGAAGGAATCTCGGAGATATAAAGTCAACATATGATAGTTACTCAAAAATGTAATCGTCATAATAAAATCTTTACAGAAAGATATAGAATAATGCGAAATCCGTAAGAGAAGAAAATTAATTGATATTTATAATTGTACTCCCTTGTCGAGATGTGTACGATATTATGTGCTTGTATTCCTTGATTATCCATATGATTTTGAGCTCTCTAATATAAAAACGAAATGCTTTGGGCTTCTTAGAAGCTATACTCTCAGCACGGTAAGGCAAATCACTGCGAATCGCGGGATTTTCGACTGACTACACATGCATATAGCTCTCAAAAAGATATTTTCTCTCGCTAATACAAAGGACGAGAGAAATTCCGAGCTCGGAATTGGCTTTGCCTCGGTGAAATTGAATTACCGTGGAATGAGTATCGCTCTCCGCGACCAGCAATCGGCTCTCCTCGGAAAGCTTCTATAATCCGCGTTTGTATCTCTTGATTGTTACGCTACTTTTCTTCGCGAATATATATGTCAATGACAATTTGTTCATTCAATCCGTTGCGAATGGAATCTTCAATTACATAAGTTCTGTACGAAACTGTTGTTACTTTCTCTTTAAATTTAGATAAAAGATAAACAGAAGCAGAATATTATAATTTACAATAAAAATAGTGAGAGATAATTAATTAATATGCGAAAATCAAGACAGAAAATTGTGAAAATTTAGCGTGCCCACGGAGACGCCGATTGAGATTGATCGCACAGGCCCGCCATGCGGGACAAGACTTACACCATTTAATCGCGGGAACTCGATGCTCGGTATGTAGGTGGTTTCCTCGTGTTCCGTGGTGGAGCAGAACCCCGTTCTTCTTCCGTATGACAGCCCGGCGGCCGCGGAATTGCGCGACTTCGCGGTGGGCTTCTGATGGGAGCCGCAGCGGACGGCGAATCGCAATTCCGAGGCCATTTCGGCGCAGAGGGACTGTCGAGAGCGATTAAACGTGGTCGAGATGGGCAGGAGATGCACGTGTATGTTTACCGGCCAAAGTGATTGCCGACGATGCAGGCAGACGCCGATACGACAGGTACAACATACACCAAGAGACACAATACACACGAGACGATCATACGAGACCGAACGCATGCAAGAGGCTGATTTCTCCGTCGAGCGAGACCGTTCATTGCTCGTTGCTCCTTTGATCACGAGCTGCGCGAATACGACTTATCGCATTAACATCTAATCGTATCTAATCGCATTTGACTGTGTATGCTGTACGTAAACTCGATATATTGTCGGAGTGCAAATATTGTCAGAATACGAAAAGACGGATATTCGATATGAAGATGCGAGTAATGGAGGAACACCAAATTGACTAAATTGCAGATGTGATAATAAATTTCTTTTTCTTTAATGATAGTATACTATCATTTTTTTTTTCTTCGAAAATCGGAATAGAATTTTACTCCATTATTTTATATACTTATTTACACGCTCAATCCAAGATGAATAATATTATAATAAAGACGCGCCAAAAATATAGTAAATAATAATCTGGAAAACGGAAATAGCTATATCGTATTAAAATTTTAGTTCGAGATTCAAACAACCTCGCTCAATCAAGAGAAAGTACAACTCATGCAACACGTTCACGCGAAGCATAAAATTCTGTACCGTCCTGTCGGCATTTTGCTTAACTTACCCTGTCCGATTGAGCATTCTTCTTCGAGTAGTAGCAGAACTCGAGGATCGCTACTAAGATCGCGAGCGCCAGGCCACAGAGCAACACGACGAAGACACCGCCTGGAATGACAAGACCGGAAGCTCATTATTTTAATGCCGACGGGTTCATTCCTTCGCCCTTCTATAATTTCACCGAGCGGGACGCCGTTGGCAGTCACGAAATACGTGTGTTTATCCTCCATCTCAAATCCGTCCTGCCGTCGTGTCTCCTTTTTTTTTCACTCCTGCCCATCTTCGCTAGTTTGTCGGAGGGCAAAGAGAAGAAGAAGAAAAAGGAAAAGAAGAAATAAAAAGTTCTCCGCCGCGGAAAATCGTGCGCGCAATATCTAAGCGAAGCGTGCGCTCTCAGATCGATTGGCTTTTCATTGTTTCATGGATAAACTATATGGCGAAATATTCGTATGCGTGAAAACATATACATATATACATATATACATATATATATATATATATACATATATATATACATATACATATATACATATATATTGCTAAATGGCTGAGTATTTGTATTTATTGCGATGCGAGAATCACATGCAAAAAACGATAAACCCGAGGGGGAAGGAGAGTATTTACGCGCTTGGAGCGTGAAGTTTAGTTCACGCTCGATGGAGGAGGATGAGAAGTATGCAAAAGTTCAAGAACGCATTTGTAATTAACGACTGTTTTGCAAAATTATTCCTAAAATTGAAATTATCTGCTTGTATCTTAGTAAATTTATACAATGCGTGTTGCTTTTTTTTCTTATTTTTCTAAGCAATATTACAATCGAAATTACTAATCAAGATAATGACTGTGAGAATTTGCAGAGAAAAATATCGAATAGTTTAATTCCGTTTTTATTTCAAAACTGTTAAAAATGAATACGTTTATATAAAAATATATATGTGATTTATATAAAATTAGGACAAATTCTCCTGCCAATGCGATTGAAATAAATATTTCAAATTCGAAGGAAGTTATCGATATTTCTCTTCATATAATTAAGATTAAAGATGAATTTTTACTTCGCTGATCAAAAATACAGTATGCTAAGTTTGCTTTGGAATAGTCAACAAGTTTACTTTTGAAGAACTTTTCAATTTTTCTTAGGTACTCATTTCCATGAGAAATTTAATCGTGTATCGATCATTTTTTTGCAGCTATTATTTATAATACTATAATTCCTTTGCTAAAAAAATTCGTTCATATAAAAATTTTTAAATTTATCGACGATAGTTTATTAATTTATTTCCTTATATTATAATTTATTTTACTCTAATTTATGTAAAATAAAAATTAATAAGATTACAAAGTAAGATAAGACCTCGTAAAACATACATTGACTCTTGTCGGCAAATACTCTTTATATCCTAACTTTCGAATATATATATTTCAAGCCAAAAGAAAGAGGTATAAAGTATATAGGATGGAATTTTTGAACAGGCTAAAAAGTGTCCACTTATCGTTGACGGCAAGACAACTGAGCCGGGATCCCCAGAGGATGCAGGGTAGATTTGCATAACTACACCAGCATGATTTATGACGACAGTCCGGACTTACTGTCGCCGGAAAGACGAAAGTTTCTCGCACGGACGCCGTGATATCGCCATGGTTTCGCGCCTGTTTCGCGAAGCGATATCAAGAAAGCCACGGACCGGAGAAAGGTCGCACGACATTGTTCGCCTATAGGCCAATTCAAGTTTCACGGTAGGAAGTTCTGCTCGTCGAGAGATATATACCAAGTTTTCTTCTAGTAGGACGAGTTCTCGCGAAACACTTGGCAATTATCCGTAACTCATCGTTCTCGAAGTTAATCCGGAAATTCGCGGAGTTGGCGATGTTCAAAGATAAATGAGCAAATGGAATGCAAGGTCGCGCGAGGTAGAGACACTAATTGAATTCGAGCAAAATTCCGATACTGTTATTTTTATGTCGCTACAATCTGTTATGTTTATCGATTTCGCTTTATGGATTAATAAGTGTAAAATAAATGTATCGTACACATATTTTATATGATTTAAAATCGGTTAACTTTGAGTGTATTTCACTTGATGTTTTTTATGTGTTTGTGTTTATTTTTTTCTCAATTCTTACTTTTAAACCAATATAAAAGAACCCACAGTTTAAATGGTTTTATATTTCTCTTTTTTTCCGTTTTAACTTTAGGAACAAAATAAACTAAAGTTGAAGTAACTAACGCTGATAAAACTTACTTGGTGTGTGGTAGTTTTATATATCTCACTTACTTAACTTTTTGTTTTATTTTTTCTTTATTTTTAATTCTTACTATCAATAAAATTAACAATAAACGATGATATTTATTATTAACTTAGATAGAACAATTATCTTTTGTAAAGAAAAGTAATAAATGAAATTTTTGCGAAATCTCCTGTAAATAATTTCAATTTAAAATAATCAGCTCGATAATTACAATGGGAGCTTCTTCTTTTTAAGAAGAGATTTTCTCTTATGTCATTAAATCTTCGGAAGGAAGAAAAAGTCAATTTATATTTCACATTTCTGTTTTATCATTTTTTAAGATTGTGAAGACAAAAGAGCTTTCTTCTCTAAACTGCTTACTTTTATGAAATAGCGAAATAAAGGTCAGCTAGCGATGATCGTTCATTTTCTATAGCAAATAATCGAGACATTGAAAAGAACTGGGATTAGCAATTCAACTATAATTTTGCGAGATTTTCGCGCCACAACGCGACACCGGGATGATTCGCTCTTCTTTCTGTCTCGTCGAGTACATTTACACCATCGGCAAAGTGGGTACTTATCCAAGTCACAGACTATAGCGGGGAGAAAGAAAGAGAGAGAAAGGAAGGAAGAGAAAGGAAAAGGAGGCAAAGTAGATAGATAACTCAAGAGTTTCCGTAAATGAGAAAAAAAGAAACTCGGACCAAAAGAAAAGAAAAAGAAGTAACTTGTTGTGACTTCCATAAAAATTCGGAAGCGGTTTCTGAAAAGTTCTAAGAAAAATTCGTTCGCGAACTTTGTGTGAGATTTCGCCTTACTTGACAGCCTCCTTTTTTCTTTGTTTCATATTTCATTGCACTAAAAATGTTATGATTCTTTACTATATAGTGACAAATCGTTTCAGTATTTATTAAGAAAAAAATTTTAATGTTTGTATGAGATATTTCCGTAAAAAAATTATCAATATTTATTTATTTTAATATCAGTATCATAAATGTAACTTTAATGGAAAGAAGTGAATAAGACAAAGCATTAAATCCAAAAACATTGCTCGAATACAAATGATAAATAATTAATTTTTTTCATAATACTCTTTGTAAAAATAATTTTACCGCATCATGACTTATGTAATTTATATTTTATTATCTTTCTCTTCTTAAATGACTCAGTTCATGCATTTTCAAACTTACAATTAATATTTTTTCTCAATTTACGTATTGTAATATAATAAGATATCTGTTCATGATTTTAAATCATATTGTATACTCGCAAAACAAACGGAATATTTCATAATTAAAATGACTGAAACTTAAAATAGGCGTACCGTACGTGAAAGTTATGACCACTGAACACGACTCTTTCGTCTGCGCATATGTGAATGTATAGTCATTGGAGTGTGCCTCAACATATTGTAGTTGAGAGAGATTCACAGCATCAAATGTAATTTATAGGTCACGTTACCATCCAAAATTTTTATCTCATTGATAATATATGATAAAAAAACAATTATCTCGTTAAATTTAATAATCTAATTGATTAAGTAACCATATGAATATCGTGAAAGAGCTGTTCAAAGCAATCATTTCCGGAATTTAATTCAATGAAAATTAATCAATCCGCAAATCTTTGATCTTGATATGCTTCGTTATATATAATTTATGAAAAATATCTTGTTATGTAATTAGTGACTATTCGAAACAGTTTCGCTTCGAGCTCTAATTTCCAATAGTATGGCAGAAATTTCTAGATGCATAATTTTATGAAATAATTCGTTAGCCATTATAATCTTTTCTAACATATATATCTGTCTGTAGTAAAAACTGTTCAATTTCAGTTCACAAAGGGTGGATTCGTTAATATATACGTATATAACTCACCGATATTTTCGACTCCAAGAGCGTTAGCTTTACTCTCTTTATTCTTGTCGTCTCTGTTACACACATCGCCGGTATTCTTCCACCATTTATCGTAGAGGATCTGTATTACACCTTTTTCCTGCAGCTCCAGAATAGCTAGAGATATTTTATCTCTCCAGGGTGAGCCTGCATATAAAAAGCCTTCGTTAGGCCGGTCAAGGGTTTCGCAATTTCTGCCTCAGTAATATAATTCCGAGCGTAAACTTTACTGTTAAATCGCAAGTTAAATATATGTCAAATATATATATGATCTAATAAAATATATAAATATATTTTAAATATACGATTTTCAGAGAAATTCTTCGAATTCTTTCTGTTTCGTGGAAAATAGAATTATTTCGATATAGTATAGTTAGTTAACACTGTACAAGTTACTTTGTACAATGACAAAATACTTTCCTTGAAGGTACATATTCCATGTCGGTTAATGAAGCTGATTTTTCTTTTGCAAAGATTTAATTAGCCACCAGCTGTTTTAGAGAAACTTCTTAACTTTCAATGTTAAATTTGATAATTGTCTCTTAAATTTAACCTTTGTTCAACAGAAGTTACATTGTTATCCTTATCCATATTTACCTTTCGGAGTAGCAATCCCGTATCCTTTGCTATCCAATAGGCCTCCTATTTGCGTCAGATTGCAATCACGTTGAACTGCATAATCGAGCATAGTCGATTCCATCAAAAATGCGAAGTCGCCTTCCAAGACTCTTTTTATGCCTTCTTCATAAGTTTGAACAAACACAGTTGGAGTCTTCGATTCCATAAAACTCCACATTTTCTGATAGATTCCAATTTTCGAATCCTGTTAAATTATACAATTTCAATTGTCCAATTCTATAATTCTTTATATTTGATTCTCTGGTCTGCATTATAAAGTTTGATTAAAAAATTTTAATTAAAAATTCATTTTTAAAATGCGTTGAAAAAAAATGAGAAAATTGATATTATATAAAAGATATTATTAAAAGAGACCAACTGATATTATATTAAAAAAAATTTTTTTCGAACTTACCGGCACTATAAAACAAAGAGAGTTTATTAAACAAAAATTGTTCTTTGATGTTATTTATTATAAAGTTAAATTTAGATATTTTTTGTTTATTACTGCTCTTACTAATTTGCTCGTGCCTCTATAGAAAGAAAGTTAGAAGAAGAGAGATTTATAAAAATAGTGTTTTTGTTCAATAAATAATTATAAAACATATAGTTTTTCGATAAAACATCATGTAGGAAGAGTGTTGATATTACAATAATATTATCAAAAGTATATCACAAATTATATTAGATCAATATATTTTTAAATATATATTTTCTTTCTATTTCAATATAAATATAGCAGATACATAATTTGATGTTTTATATTGTTATGTAATATAATTGTAAATGTACATATAATTTATCATATCTTTCTCGAGTTTTCATAATACAATGAATTACAGTATCCATTAATGTAATGTTTCTATTATCAAAATTCACACACATTTTAATGTCTATTCATGTATATTATATATCATTTGATGCATTGTAAAATAACACAAGAATTTAAACGCAAAAACTGTCTGACGAGAAATGAGATAGAAACTGATTTTAAGGGAAAAAAATCTAATATATTAACTTAGCATTATACTTTTTAATTCATTAATTGCAAAGCATACCCCATATTTCGAGAAGTATAAAATTTTAATTTTTTATTTAATCCCTTGTTTTTTAACCTTTTTCTCTTTAAATTTTATACTTACTCTGAAAAATGTTTTCGTACTTCCACCTTCCAAAGTACCATAAGGTATATCGGTTTGTTCCGCAAGATCGGCGACATTCTCGATCGGCGTTATCATTCTTTCAACCGTCAGAAAGGCCGCCAGATTCGCAGTGTAAGAGGAGATGATAATCAGCGTGAAGAACCACCATATACCGCCTACGATTCTCGTACTAGTTGCCTGATAATGAGGATTAATTTTCCATCTTTATTTCTCAAATGAATTCAATGAAATAATATTACATTTCTCATTCAGCAATTATAGAGATATTTTAATTCGACAATTAAATCACACATCTAGAAATCGATTAACAAGTCAAATTTTGCTCCGCGAATATTATTAATTCAATCGTATTTGTTACTCATTTATATAGATTTCATTACCAAAAATATTAATTTATTAATTGTTTGAAAGATGATTTTATAGATCGCGATATAATTGATTAACATTAATATAATCTCATTACGTAATTTGTTATAATTTTGGAATCGCAATGAATAAATTTTGTATCAATTACATGTGTTTTCGAATAGTCCTTTCGAGCAACATCACTTAGCAGTTTGTCAGACAACGGAGATCATCTAACCCGTGTATCAGCCAAATCAAACAGTATCGAAATCAAACTGGTTGTAAACGCGTGAGAGGAATATCCGTCGTAAAGTTCTAGTGAAAAGGATCTTTCACGTGTGAATGTTTTGCGATGTAACTTCGGATGTAACTGCAGATCTCTCTTACCTCTGTCGCGAAGAATCGTAAGGAGATTCAAAGATCGATCGGAAACGCATCAGGATGAGTGACAAGGTCGATTTAAAGAGCTGGATCGATCCTGACGGGAAATACCGTGCGGCAGTGCGAAAGGAATGCAATACACGCGGGGATCTCGTTTAAAATTCACAGTCGGGATATTTCAACGCATTAACGCCGAGACCGACGATTGCGGAGGCTATTGTCGAATATGGAATATTCGTGACTGGCTCCTCTCATTCTCGTAGACAGCGGTCCTCCCACATTCGGCAGATGTGCAAATGATTTTAATTCTCTACCGCGCGATATATCCGGCGAAAGAGTAATAATGAATGTATTTAATTTTCATAAGCCGAATATATAATATCCACGTGTTTTGCGCTCGTGAAACGACTCTTCCGGGAACAACCCGTTCGCTTATTATTATCCCGATATCGACGGAAGAAATTTTCCGCGCATGTGTGCGAAGAAATTTAAAACGAAAGGCATGCTATTATATTTGCAATATTACTTTCCCTCCTATAACTATTCAACAACGACTCTTGATAATGTCTGGTGTGCCTATGACGTGAAATACCATTTGCTGACACTCGAGACAGTGTCGCGATGACAACCCTGTATGTACACACGTACCACCAGAGTCAATTAGCATCACATGCTGCACAGATACCATAAATATTTATGTTTTCACATGAGATCTTTTTCTCCAGCTCTACTTGTGATTTCTTTTTCTGGAATATTTCTATCGAGCAAATACTGCAATGTTTTATGTCAGTAGACGTTCAATATATCGAGCAGACTGATATTTACTTTTAAATATATTTACTAACAAATACATAATGTACAGTTGTATAAAATGAGGCATTTATTTAAGAAACCGATGCAGTAGAGTTATCAATTACATATGTTAGCATAATTTCTTTATATTTCTTGTATAAATATTAACAATATTTTTTTATTCATATTTTTCATATTGTTTTGAAAACGAACAACAAGCCCCTAAAACAAAAAACACATATTTCATGATTTATAAGTTCAGATGAATTGATATCATGTTCTGATGATTTAAAGTACGTACTACATTACCAAATGTCAAAATTATTGTTTATCAAAATTAATATATAAATAATATCAAAATTAATATTATTTATATACATTTTTATATTATAATATATGCATTTTTTATTTATATTCTATTTTCGTATTTATTATATTTTAAGTGTATTGATAATTTGTAATTATTTTCCTATATTTAGATTAAACGAAATCTTTACCCTGCCACTGGTATTGTTCGGAAAATAATTCATGTCTAATCATTCGAATAAGACGTCAAATCATACAAATTTCTGCGTCCTACGAATGATTGAATAAATGTATGTGTGCGTGTGTAATTAGCAGTAATTACCTTTGAAAGCAGTAATTAGCATTTAATGCGAATTAATATCAAGCGCAATGCAGTATATATCTCTTCTCTATGGTATTTATAATATATAAAAAAATTAGATGTATCTTTGATATAATCAATATAAACTGTGAATCAGAAGGCATTCACAAATAAATAATTTTTTCTTATTATTCTTTTAGATATATTAAAAAATTTCGTCATATTTTATGTAACAATAAGAATATTACGACAAGAGAATTACAAAATACCCAAAATACTCTTTCTATTAATTCTACTTCTTAACAGCATTTTTTTTCTCTAATGCATAGTATGAAGTAAGAAGTTTAGAAAATACTGTTCGATATACTACAGTTCGTCGAAAGAACATCCGTAGCAGCCGTTTGCGTGAAAGCGAAGGAATCGAGCGTCGAGAGAGTTTACTAGCGTGCGAAGTTACTTTCACACTGTGCTTCTTGCATATAAAAGTTCATTGTCCATTAATCCATTGTAGTACCAACTAAAAAGAAAAATCTGGTAAAAAGAATTGATGGATTATTTTCATATTGTGTACATCGATGTTAAAAATATAAAAGTTACTATTTTTAAATGTATATGTACATTTTTATTGCACATACGTAAGTTGTGCGAAAAATAATATCGTGAAACAAGCTGACACATCTCTAATAAATATTATCAGACTCCGTCAATATTTTGCATAATTATTGAAATCAATAAAACATTGCTATAACGATATGTAAAAATAAGAAATTAAAAAACAATTGATTTATATGCATATGCAGGGATAATATGTATTTTCCTAGCATGTTTGGTGAGAAATAGAAAATTTAATCAAACTTGTATTTATTCACTTATCGTTCTATGGAATTTCTTTGTCATAAATTACTTGAATATTATATGTAATTCGACAAACGAATTGTTTTTACATAATCGCGTATATGTAATCAAAATGTGTCACAAATGAAGCACGATGAGATTTCGAGAATAAAGCATGACATATATAAGTAAACTCTATTTCTTTTTTTAATTTTTGTAAGTACAGTATTGAAAAGAAAAAGATATGGCGCGAATAATAACGGGCAGCTCTTTTCATTCCAAATGCCTCCATTGTCCACAGTAGCAATGTCGTTGCCAACCCAGTTTATACTTCTCGTTTATACTCCTTTTGTGAGATTCACGAAAGTCTATACAATATTGCACGTATTATTCGACAACTGAGAGCCAATTGCACACTATTCTGCACCGACATTTTCTTTATCTTATTCTATCGATCATATTACATGCAACGCTCGTATAAATAAAAATCAGTCCAAATATCAGAAGTAGAGATGTAAATAGAAAGAAACAATTTTTTTTATAAAATATGGTTTCTTGTGAACAAAAATAAACCTTATTTTTTTGTTCTTTTCTTTTTTAGATATTTAGTATCTTTAAATTTTAATTATTGCAAGTTGCTTTTGAACTTGAATGAATTATATTTATTATTGATATAAAAACACAGTTTGTAATCTTTTTTTAAATGTACTTTACTCATTATTTTATTATAAAAAAAATAAAATTTTTATGTTTATTTTTAATTATTTTTAATTTTTTTATTTTTATGTTACTTTTGAAAGTAATTTTAATGAGTTAATAAGATTTTTGCGATTAAAATGATGCTGACATAATTCGGATAATTTTTAGTTAGATGTAATAAAAATTTTCATGCATTATGTTTGATATAATTTGCAACAAAATAATTTTTAATAATGCATTAAAATTACTTAAAAAAGTTAATTAAAAATTTTGATTTTTTAATTATATTTACAAAAAAATATAAAGAATAAATAAGAAGAAATAATATTCTATTAAAAAAATGAAAACCAAATTATTTTTGCATTGGAAATATTTGTTTAATGTTTAAAAATATATCATGTTTTACATCTTTAGTCAAAGGAATAATAATTTTGCAAACTAAATAACGAAAGAGCAAATTAATTATTTGCTATGTTTCTTTTCTATATCAGAAATAATATTTCTTTTTTATATCAGAAATAATATTACAACCTGCGATTTTATTCATCACTTTGCGGAATATTAGATATTGTTTTCTTTTGTTAAAATATTTGTTTTAAGTTTTAAATACGCTATATTTTAATTTGAAATATTATTTAGCTGTCTTGTAAAGCTATATTAATGCAAATTTATTACGAATTTTGCAAATGTTTCATATTTTACATTTAAAGTTCTTTTTATTTTAAAGTTAATTTTATTTATAATGTTTATATGCTCCTCATGATACTTATGCACAGTGTACTTATACATACTTTTGTGCCATTATTTTATATTTATTTATCTTTCACTTGAAATAAAATTCGTTGAATTTCACATTGTACGCAAATAAAAATTACATTTAAAAATTGTGTATGTAACTGAGAGATTTGCGACATTTTACGTGGTCAGTAAAAATGCAGCAGTACAATTAGGCTACAAACATAAATTTGTTTTATATTGTTTTTCTACACAAGCTTACTTTAAAAGAATAATGTTTTCCAGGAGCAAGAGAAAACTTTTTTACATAAGATATGGATAAAGTTTCGTTTTCTCCATTTACGCAACATTGTAAAATTAAAGAGAGATATATTCAAAAAATCAATAATAATTTTAAATACATCTCTTTCTCTATTATTATTTATATTTATATAGAAGCACTAAAAGAAATTTGTATACATATTAAATTCTTCGACAGATATTAAAATAAATTTTCATCGACCGGTTGTCGTATCTTTTATTTCCCGCAAGATATACTGAGATATTGTGGCTAATAAAGTTTCTTCTCCTACTGCTTTTCACACATGGTTGAGTGAGTAATTTCTAAAGTATATATATATATATATATATATATATATATATATATAATTAAAAAGGATAGAAAATTGTTTCGCACAAAAATGATCTTGCGCAGCGTGAATGTAGACACGTAAAAAGGAAACAGACTTCTAACATAAAGAAAGGATTTTATTGCATCGTCATTATTTTTCGAGTAAATCTGGAGATCAGTTTTTCTTTGATGTGTTAATACTATTGGAAATAAATCAAGAAAGGGAAAAAAGAAAGTTACTATATAATAAGTTACGCGGACAATAATCATTCATTGTTTCTCGGAGTGTGTAAGTTGTCAAATTACTGAATACCAAAAATTTCATACAAATTTTACAATTTGTAATTTTATATTCTTTTTATTATTATGTTATGTCTTATATTATTATGTTTTTCTATTATTGTTATTATCTTCTTATATGTTTTATATTCTTCTTATTTTTATTATTATATTCTTCTTGTTATTATTATTAAATTATTCTATTTTAAATAGATTTCGTCTATTATCCTATTAACAAGACCGAATAATAAAGTCAAACGAACAACTTATACATTCTCGTAAAAAGAAAATTTCCACCGAGATGCCGTAAAAACTGGAGGATCGACATTTTAATGCATGTATGTATAAAGAGAAGTACAGGATTACGGTGCGCAGAAATGGCTCGTTCCATTTTACGCTTTGATCAAAATTTGATTGAGCCGTGTGGTAAAGTGATTCACTATTCTCCAGTCTCGCTAACACGTTGCTTAAACGAGCATTTTGCCGTCGTAAAATCTTCAGGGAGAAGCCGAAATCTTATATCTGAACACATAAATTACGCAGCTCTTCCTTTAATTAGCGCTGTAAAATATCTATGAAGTTGATATTTGACGCGAGTATACTTATACGTTGCGAGTTTTCAGAGATCCGACAAATTTTCTCGAAAATGCTGGCAACTGCGCGCGTTTGTTAATAAATTAAGAAACATTTCTCAGAGCTTTTTTGACTCTTTCTCTCTCTCTTTCTCTTTTCTTTCCGTTTTCTTGCTTTTTTTCTTTTTTTCTGATGGAGCGTAGGGTTGAGATCACTGTTACATAAGTATGCCGACTGTAAACTAAAAGCTGTTGGTCAGGCTAAACTCGTTTACAGTTCTCAGTAGTGAAACGTCGTCACTATCCAAATTTAAGACGCTCACGTGACTATTCTTATGACAATATGATAATGATTCTCGGCAAGTGATACCGATTCGAACATAGAGATTACTGTTTAATTTATGTGTACATTGTTTTTTATTATATATTTCGTATTATTCTATAGAATCGCACGTAAACATTTGATTACAAAAAATGAAAAATTGAAAATGCAGATATGATGCGAAACGTTATTTTTTTATCTTATATGATATATTCTCTCCAGAAAAAGAGAAATGTAACGATTTCTTGATTTTCTTTTTCGTAAAAAAGTACTGCATTAAAAAGCCTGTTGCTGCAGATATTTTTAATTTGCCATTGTTTATTTATTAAATAATTATATCTGTTATTTATCTGTGTAATATGTTAATGCGAGAATAAGTAACGAGAAATCACAAGTAAGAATTATAGTCATTTTAAAATGGTGACTTTATTATCAGTTATATATATATATATATATATATATTTATTTATTTATTTATTTATTTTAGGGAATATTCATTTAAAGATCTAATTACACAATCGGGATTATTTCGCACCACTCAGCGGGTGCGTACCTGCAAAGGACAATTGCAGTTTGGATAGTGTCGGCTCCACCCATTCGTAGGGTGAGAATCTTGCTACTATTCATATTGTCAGGGAAACCATCACGTAGGCGTCTGACAGGGACAATCAGATTTCCACAGCGAGGGGATTCATAAACGAGAAGAGGCGTGATGGCATGCGTTCGGTCACCTGAAGCAATGACATTTGTTTTGACGTTACTAACACGTGACAAATTGACCTGATTGACCTGATTCGAAGATAGGATTATGATGGAACGCAACAGTGCGCCCGTTCATGTTCAATCATCGCGTCGTATTTCCTGTTGGAAAATAATTTGGAGGCACGAACCGTTTATAATTCTTCCACCGGCTTCTTTCACAATATCCAGTTTCTCGAGTGGCACGAAAGACGATTCTTTATTTCGCTGGAATTGTAGGAGCGTATTATTCTTCGGCGTGTCGGGTAAAACACAATAGCGCACTCTGAACGCAATCGCGGTACGTGCTGCTTTATTTTTTAATGAGACATCGCTAACGTGAGAGGGTAATCGATATTGAATTTTAAAAAGCAACAATCTATTGTAACAATAAGGCAGACAATAACGGACTTTAAATAATATATTATAATTTTAAATATACCAGATTATAATTTGAAATATACGTAAATTCAAGAAATTATCCGCGTTCTAGTTTTACAATTACAATAAAGGACTTACAGATATATCATTTTTCCACATAGTCCACATATTTGCTTTTTAATGCATTTAGTTTAGCGTTCCACAAGTTTGTTTATATCAGAGAAAAATGGTTTTGGATGCGCTGTCAGTCACACATGCATGGTGTCTTTCATATGTTAAACCATAATGTAAAAAATTGATGACCTGCTGTTGCTCATACAGTTGAAACACTTTAAAATTTAGATTGAGATCTGAATTTTCCACTATATAGCGTTGATCAACCTCTTTTTTGGATGGACTAACGAAATGATAATTTGAAAGGGCAAGATCAGGGCTATGCTGGATAAGATCTTCAGATTTTGAAGTATTTCAACTGTATGAGCAACAGCAGGTCATTGATTTTCTATGAACTTCGAAAGACATAAATGCATGCATGGCTAACTGTGCAATCAGAAATATTTTTCTGAGAATCTGAGCAAACTTGTGGATCACTAGATCAAGTGAAAATCAAGGGGAAAAATGTGTGGAACATTGTATATGTGTGGAAAAATTATGTATGTCCCTGTAAATTCTCTGTTATAATTGTAATAAATTGTAGAAATAAAACGCGGATAATTTTTGATTCAACCTCGTATTTTAGAAATTCAATAATTAATTAATGCATCTATAATTTGTATATAAGAAAAATGTGAAATTTGTACATAAGATTTTTCTGCACTAACCAATGTAAATTATACGAATAATGCATTAATTAGTTTCGAACAAAACAAATAATAGTATAACATTCTTTATAAAAATTATACGAAATTAAAAATTGTTATATTATTGATCAGCGTCTCAATCATCTTTCTAGTTTTAGTAGTTCTACTTTCTTATAGTTCTCTGTAATATTGCAAATACGTGTTTCGCAACATAAGCAGATTTAAATCGAATTGACGAGCACCTGTAAACATACATGTGCTGTTTGCGCCTCGGTAAGATGATGGATTTATGTACGCGCGCTGCCTCATGAATAAGATTCGTATAATACTTGTTATGCTCGAACGCGTGAGAAGAACCTCGCGTGATATCGGATGAGAGTCCCGATGGTGCAGTCTCGGTTTACGTGCGACTATAAAAAATAAGTACGTAGTCCAATAATGGAGCACATTGAATGTACCTTAGGGTTGAGTCCGCTGCCTTGCCTTAGGAAGGTGCCGGTGATGAACCAGAAACTGTTGCTGACGCTAAACTGGTTCTCGACCACGTCGCTCTCGGCCAGGCATGGATGCGGATTGTTCCACTCGTATGGGCTGAAGCGCGCCATCACAAAGAGAGTGAAGCTCACGAGCATGTAGGCGGCGAGCACGTAAAGCCAGATCTCGATCGCGAGCGGATTCATGAAGGAGAAAAGCCTCGTCGGTTGACCGGATGGCACCTAAATTATGTCACGCTACGATTTTAATTAAAACGGATCCCGTCTCGTGGCGCGACGCGGCACGAAACAATTACCTTTCGCTGAACGATGGTATTCAATGATTCTCTTTACGAATATTTGACGATACGACAAGATAGAGAATTTAGAAATTATGAAACTACGAGATGCGGATTATTATTATTTGATGAATTAATTTTTTTCTTTACGTTTAATTAGAGATTCATCTTGCATATGTCGATAATCATGGAATAATTAAGATATCTGTTTATGTTTTACATTATTTAATGAGCTCTATGTTATATAGTATGCGATAATGGTTTGCTCATATGGACATCGATTTCATAAACTGGATAATAAATGTATAAATTGAAGTGTGTAATCAGGAAATGAACATGGAGGTAAATATCTGTACTTTAATAAATGGATGATGAAAATGATATTGCGTGTAGAGAGAGAGATATAATCTTAAAAGAAATTTAACGAATAAGATATTAAAACTCACCTTAAATAAGATTCCAATTCCGAGATTCATAAACGGCTTTGTAAAGTCTATTACGCTTTCCCTGGCATAATTAATCGTCATGGAAGCAACCGCCAGATCCGCTCTCTGAAAAAAGGTGTAGCATCCAGGGAAGTTAAAGAAATTCAATTTTCTGGCGAAGTTGAAATCTGTACAAAAATACGAACGCTTATAACATAAAGAGAAGCGGTAAAAATTAATATTGAACAAAGTATTCCTTTCGCTAAATATTAAGTCATTCATAGAATCCTCGCTCTTGAAGAAGCGGATATGTAGAGATGAAGAAGTAAAAGCAAATCTGACTTCTTCAGATAATGAAGATAATCAAGACACATTGTGACATATATGCACCAGGTAAATGCATTTTATAACTCGTACTGAAACGTGAACGAAAGCATCGCAAAATTACTGATAAATTCTCGTTCCATGTTCGCGCGAGAAAGTTTACCTTGCGAGATGGTAGATGCATTCTTTATGAACGGATGAACGTCACGGGCTATGAAGCACTGTTCGCGTCATCCTCCGTTTTGAAATATCCGCCTACGGTTTCGTAGGTTTCCAGGTTAAGGCGTCATCTCTTTTCACAAGGAGCAGATTGCTTTGCATGTTTCATAAGCCGCTGATCTTCGGTATTCAACGAATATGCCAGAAAGGGACGAGCCACAAATTTTGCAAAATGTATGCTTTTGTAAGTGTAGCTGTTTTGTTTTTTGCGTTCCAAATTAATGTCAGTTATGTACGAGAATCTTCTTTCTTTTTATACACCGCATATATGGGTACGCATATAAACATATTTAGAATAAATTTCAGCTCTAAGATGATCAGTTGTTATAAATATGTATATCAACAGTGTTAGTTCCATGATATGTATATACATTATTTTTTATATTAGCTTTCATGAAAATCAAAAATATATGTGATATGTATAATATATTAAATTACTAACTTGTTAAAGATGCAACATTATATTCTGTAAAATATTGAGAGATTTTTAATTAGTATTCTAAATATATCAAGACATATATATATTTTTATTATATATGTATCATATGTACAAAATACGGGTTGCAGGTAATAAAATGTTGCATTTGCATAAAATATTGCTTAATATAAAAAGACAAACAGTTCATATATCACGAACAATATAGATTCGGTGATAAAATGTCAAGAGCACCTTAGAATCCTACAAATATATATATGCGATATGGTATATCGAGATTATCAATTTGATAAAAAATACCTGAATTTTTTATTGTACATAGATAGAAGTTTTATCACGGATAGAGAGACGCATGTCGGATCAGTTTAAGCATGTATATGTCAATCATGCAACATATGTCTGATATAAGCACGCATAAAGCGTACGAAAAAAGATTCCGGCAATAGTGAAACATTTAGATCATTGTGTATTCATTCGCTTTGCATCAATGATTAAAATATGATTGCAGATATCAATTTTTCAAATGGCCATTAACGGAGTCCCTTTTCTGAATTCAATATTGCATTGTATGCCTATGTACTAACGTACAAATTGTCAAAGTCGTCAGTATTTTCAATATTACATAGCCTTATGTATATCTCTTTTTTTCGCATTCGATTCTGTTATTTTTACGTAGCGATATTGAACTGCGCGCGATTTTATCGCGAATACAATCTGGTTTTTACACATGCGTATGTCCGTCGTTTGGCTGGTGTATCGCGCTCCTGTGTTTTCATCGATGATTCAACGATTGAAACCAGAAATCCAATAAGAACTTATTCCCTTTTCAGAAGTTCCCTTTACCCGATGCATTAACGTTCAGCTGTAACATTTTCCATTTTTCGTTCGAGATGCGCACACGTATCTTCTCTCTTTCTCGCTAGTAACGTCTGCGTGGAATACGATCGCGAGAAAACACAATGCGAATAGAGAGCTTCTCTCGTGATAACGAAAAGACAACATTTACCTTCTTCCGGATACGATCGTGAAAAGTTAGAGCTATAATAAAAACTTGAAGAAGAATTTTTGTGTTGTTAAAAAATATCGGGATTTTTTATTTCAAATTTCCTATTATTTTGTTTGATAATACGCTTATACAATTGTAATGTAAAGTTGACAATATTTTATAGGACAACATATTGCTTCGAATTGAAATTTCAATTGCAAGTTTGCACCATTTTCGTCATTATCTCAATAGAATGTTTTGTCAGTAGTTTTGCATGAGAGATCCCAAACTTTGAGTGAATTGGAGTATATAAAATATTTTTATCGACATTTGAACATTCTCTTAAATCTCTAATAATTAAAAATGAGAGATACAACTGAAATTTTAATACATCGTTCATTTAATGTCCTAAATGTCCCGTTTAATAATTGTAATTTTGCAATGATTAATCGTGGTTTCAATTTGTAGTAGATATTATGCGAACATCGCGTGCGCGTCTACTCGATCATGCAGACAATAATGGATCGGTGACGCAAATTAAATCCGAAAGACGCTCGGATGCGCATACATCAAACTTTGATTTTAATAACTGCACGATTTTACAATTCAAATAACGGGAGAGGGAGGTAACATCTGTGGTTTTGATCTATGAATCGAAATATCGAGTATCCTCTCTGTTCTGTTATGGAAGAAACAGTTAATCTAGGTAATTCTTGTATCCGACTACAGGCGTAATGAAATTCCTAGCGGGATGGATTTATTGCGAAACGCCCGCGAACGCCCGCGGAAATTTACTTTGCTTCACACATAAAATCGACCCTTTGGGTCGCATTTCCCCACTCTCTCTCCTCGATATGTTTCTCCTAATATACCGTTGTAATTCGGCCAACAATATTAATCTTTTACGGAACAAATTAATTTCGACAATGAAGCCGATGTTATAAATATGCTATCTTCATTTTCAGTGTTGACACAATCATCGATTTCTGTTATGTAAACTATTTTATCAAAATTTGGAAAATGTTATTTAATTATTCATTATTTTTAATGTTTGGAGAAACATGAAGGATTGCAATAAACTATTTAAATTCGACGTAGTGGTTTAATTAATCGCATATATCTTGATTAATTTTTATCTTATTTTTAATGTAACATTTATCGTGTTTTTTCCAATTCTCGTAATGTTGATGATATAGCAGCTTTTGTTTTAATTTGGCGTATTATTGTAAATTATTTCTCGGCTTATCTTATTTCATTTCTTGCTATATTGAATTATCTCGAATTGTCGCGGAAAAGGAAATAAGATTTACGTATTTGATATCTTACCTTCTCCATGAGCTCGCGCACGATACCATTCCACTCTTCCGTCTTAGTATCGTACACCCCATACATGTGATCCGGCACCAATTTGATCGCGTATTGGAAGCCGACCTGACCGGCAATCCACTTGAGCAGATCGATGCAGAAGCCCTCGAACCTCGCGTTGCCAGTCAAATTCTTGTCTTCCTTTACCATGACGTAGGGTCTTTCCTGCAAAAGATTGGATCGTATTGATAGATTGTAGAATCGTGCTCATCGTGACAGAAGCAGCGGTGCGGGGGCAATCCTTAAAAGCCCTTATTTCCGCGCGAAAAAGCCGTATCAAAGGTGCGGAAAAAGCCGCCGTTCAATGCGAATATATGGCATTCTGATCTTGTCCCTCAAACATTTCTTTTTTCCGATGCCAACCATGAATTTTTCATTTTCCCGAGAATACACGAGGACGTAAAAGCTTCTCTTCAATAACTAAGATTCTTCCTTGATAGTTCGCGATTTCACGATATTCCCTTAATACGCTTAAAACGCTTTTAAATGTTTCCTTAAAAAATAATATAAGTTAAATTTTTGTATTATTTATTCATTTGCCATAAAAAATTGAAATTTGTAACAGCCTATTATTTAATATAAGCGATTATTTTTTTATCAATATTTAATGTGGAAATCCAAAAAAATTATCGGAATGAACGGAATTAATTTGAACGTGCATAGGGCCACAAACGCTAATTTAGGCACAAGATGCCATTACCTCTCTCGTCATCACTATGAGCGTAATGTTGGTCGCTGTGGTCTCGTAAAAGGCGTCCAGATCCGTAACATTAATGCCGGACCCGGATTTCCATTCGCCAACTTTAACGAGCTCCTCCTTCTTTAGCTTCAAAAGATCAAGCTTAAAATTGGTTCTTTTTCCTTCATTGAATTCGATATGTCCGGTTAATCCGTGTAAGCCTGCCTGCAACAGAAACACTCGCATAAGCCTAAATTGTTATTCTTTTATGCGCGTCATATATAATTAACATATAAAATTAAATTAAATTAAATTAACAACAATTAAATAAAATAACAATATATTTGTCATATCATATTTTGAACATTATAAGTATTTTAATTATTGATACGAATAAAATTTTAAGTTTTCCTACGTAAAGAGCATGGTACGATTAACTTTGCTTTCATGAAAATGCATGTAGCTTAGTTGTATAATTCTTCGAGGCTTTATATCTCTTTATTTAAATATAGGTAGGATGTGTTGAAAATTGCATTTTTATGTAAATAGTGGCCTTCCACATGATAACAATATCTCGAAGTAATGAAACATAACGCAAAAATACCCCGTCCAAGCCGATATTGAATGAAACGCGAGAATCGAAAAAAAAAAAATAAAATTCTCATATGATTTCTCGCAACATTGCGCTTATACTTGTTTAATGACGAATGCAGCCGGATTCGCCGTTCGTTAAATCACATGCGTCTGATGCCTGTTAAATTTATTTTTCCTCCGTGTCTAGTAACTCAGAGATACGCACACACTCGCGCACGATTCATTGCTGACGGCCTACATTTCCGGTCTGCATGCAACCGGCGAAATTTTTCGCATTAATTACCGTTTGCGGTCTACCGGTGGTCTCCGCATAGTTTATTTGATTTACATCTCTTTTTTACTGTATATCCATCGCCGAGCTTGGTGGAATATTCCATCCGAAATGGAACTCCTTTCTAAACTCAGCCATTTAAATCTATAAAAATTCCAATAAGATAAATTCTATATATGAGTATTCCCTCGCGTAAAACATTTTTCAAACGAAATAATTTTGACTGTTTAATTATTTCGTTACTCAAAGGTTTTATTAATTACTGGTCGAAGCTGTAATTAATGATTGAAGAATTAACATTACTCATGTGTTTTGTGATTTTATTCAACGAAATGTTTGTTTGGATTTTATCATTAAATAATACACGAAAAATTTTTTGAATATTTTGTGGTCGGGCTGACATACGATTGTACAGTTATATTTTAAATATTTCTCGTATTTTATTCCACTTGAATTTGGATTCATTCGAGGATGATAATGATACGAAATGTGAGAACACATTGGGTTTACTATACAAGATTTATATGACAATTTATATTGCATCTGCATTGAGAATTTGAATCAGTTCGGTCGGATTTTTACGCGGTTGTTTCGTTCATATATTGCTTAACACACTGCAATAAAAATAAAGACAAATATGAAAACAAATATTTTAATTGTCGCTTACAAATTTATATATATATATATATATATATATATATATATTTTTATATAATACTTATAAAAACAAAAGATTATTGTTAAAAATAATATTTAAAAAAGAGCATATGTATGTTTTTTATACACAAGTATAAAATATTATTATTAAAAATATTTTTTACTCTTTATCTCCTTTTTCTCTATGTCTTTAATTGTCTAAAACATATTAGTACTGATTTGAAAAAATTATTTCGGCTTCGAAAAGTTGTTACACTGCTTGAAACTATATTTCGATCATAACAAAAAGTGCATTGCGGATCGGAGCTATGAATTTTTACGAATTTATGGATTGGTACCTGTTAACATGATTTAACGAAGGCCGACGTACAGAAGTGCAACGATTTTCGCTCGTCCGTGCTACGTGCAGTTATTTCGATAACGTATATTTACAAAGCTCTGAAAGCGTATATCAAATTATCTCGCATAGCAATCGTCTTTCATAAATCCAGACAGCTGGCGAGAATTTCAGCAATGATTTCAGCAGCGAACCTGAATTTCTTTTCAGCGGCGTTATTGCGATCGCGCCGGCCACATGGATCGATAAATCTTCATCGTGTGGATCGATAAATCTCTACCATATCTCGTCAACATCGACGTCAACGACCGTCAGTACTCGCGCCAGTCAAAAATATGCCAATGCACGTGAAACAAATGGCAGTAAAGCGTACCGGAAGTGACCGGTCGGTGGTGCATCGTATCGCATGTATTTACGATAGTCGATGTACTCTCGCCTGACGTATACGCACGTTAATTGCGTCTATGTGTGACACGATATATAACGCGTATAACATCGCTACGCTTGCGTTTTATGCAATAAAATACGCAGCTCGGAATATTTTGCAGAAACATGTTGCTGTAGGGATTTAGTTTCAAAAAGAAGAGGATAGAAGATTAAAATTACGTGTGGCATTTGTAAAGGATCAATGCGAAGTATATTAATTTGTTTATTGTAAGATTCTTTTTAATTTTGTTAAATCGTAAAATATTATTTAGCTGTTTTTAGAAGAGCTAAGATATAGAGAAAGAAACAAAACGAAAATGAATCTACTTTTCAACGAGAGAAAATATATTAAAATTGTATATAAAATATAATTTTGAAATTCAAAGAAAAGTAGTAAATCATATATTATCATCAATTTTGATATATTTTTAATATAATGTATATATATATATATATATATATATATATATATATATATATTGCAATATATATTGATATTGTTAAATATTAAACATATTGTACTAAACATTGTTCCAACCAGTAAATGTTTATATATATTTGCAATATATATATATATATATATATATATATATATATATATATATATATATTGCAAATATGAAACATTTACTGGTTGGAACAATGTTTAGTACAATATTTTTAATATTTAACAATATCAATTTATATTAATCTGCATTAAACAATGTGTGTTTTATATTTATATAAAACAGTTAAATATAAACTTTTAAATCCGTTAATACCAGATCCTTTACAATAATTCCTTTTCTAGAGAACGATATTATTTGTAAAAGCAAAATATAAGAAATTTTTTATAAAGAATCAATCTCTATATTATAAATTGAGATTTTTCATTATCTAAAAATAGCCTTTATCTAAAAATAGTTGTTTGCTTTATTATTTCAAATTGAAATTTATGGAACAGCTATTATATTTTCATGTAAGTTGCGTATGTTGTGTTATTCAATTTATGTTATATATTTATTCGGACCTACACATATATATTACTCGGATTGGTTTATATACCCACAACGTCGCCTTTTCGCATCTACATATACAATAATAATAAATTATATTCCCGTTTGCAGCTAAAATAGATACCAATTTGCAAGCATTCTAGAGCGTAATAGAAACACCACTGCGCTGTTTGTAAATTTACTTATCTAAAGGTTGTAACGAAAGCATATTACAAGACATTGTTGCTATCGCTATTATGAGGTAAGGAAAACTATATTCAATTTTATTATATGTAATATTAAACATACTATGAAATATCATGAACTTAATTATAAATCAAAACTGTTGTCGCATTGTTTAATTAATAAAATTGAATCGATAAGTTATTCAGATATAGTAAGTTATATAGATCAGTAGAATAAGTGTAAGAATAAACTTTACATAATTTATAAGCTTTAATCCATATTCAATATTTTCATTACTTTAAAATAAAACTTGTGTAAAATTAAATAAATCTAAAGAGAAATAAAGTTATAATAAATTTAAAAAAACATGTCAAATTAAAATATACAGTTTATATATTGAATTTTACGTATTAATTAATTAAATTTTATATAATTTATAAGTTTTTATTAATTCGATATTTTCACTAGTATTTCAAATTGAAACTCGCGAAAAATTAAATAAATCTCAAAAGAAATAAAATTATAGTATGTTAAAAAATATGTTAAATTAAAATATATATTTCATATATTTTTTATATTAATTAATTATATTAAACAATTTAAATTATATTCAATAATATATATATATATATATATATATATAATAAATTATATTTTATAAAATTGTTAAATGCATTAAATAATAATATTTTATATTTCTGTTTGTAATAATATCATATAAAATTTTATATTATTGTTTTAATATATATATATATATATATATTATATATATATATATATATATATATATATTAAAACAATAATATAAAATTTTATATGATATTATTACAAACAGAATAAAATATTATTATTTAATGCATTTGACAATTTTAATAAAAAAAATATAATTTATTTCAGATGGAAATACTATATGTGGAATACTATATGTGGAAAGAGAATTTATTTCAAACGACTTCTATTTCTACTATTATTTGAAACGAATTCTATTAAAAGTGATGTAATATTCATGTACATGTGTAGTTTCATTTTTACAAGCTTTTTTATATTTATAAGATTTTATAAAATTTTATATATTTTACATATTTTATAATGACTGATTAATTATTTCATATTTTGCACTGGTTAATTATTTCTTATTTACGCGCATTTGCCTCTCTGTGTATATTTACGCGTATATATCCTTCACCTTTAGAGTACCTGAATAGGCAAAAGCCGCAAAAACCGCCTATACTTGGCGCGGTGCATTAATCTTGCCGTTTTTGCAATGGGTTTTAGCTTTCAGCGCTCAGCTCGGATTGCTTAAGCGGTGTAAGATTTGCGGTTTTCAAGCATAAACTGTAGAGTTTATAAAAATTATAATCTAATTAATAATATATACATATATATATATATATATATATATACATACATACATATATACATACATACATATATATATATACATACATAGATACTAGCGTGCGCGCGCGCATACACACACACGCACACACACATTCACAGTATACGCATATTATCACAAATGCATGACAACATATATCAGTGTTTTTAAACTTTTTACATTCGTGGTATAATCATTTTTCCCATCGATTAAATGGCATATGTGATATTTAATAAAATATTCGATAATTATTTACATTAACTACATTAATTATTTACATTATTTGATTAATTTTTCTCTTTGTTTTATTTGACAATCTCTTATCATTTTTGAGATATTAACAAAAAAGATTTATGGCGATTTCTATCAATGTCGTTTAACTTTAATCTTATTGTTAGTTTA